CGTAAGGCAGGTTTTCTAATCCTTTAATCATTCTCATGCCTCTTCACTGACCCCTCTCCAATTTACCACCATCCTCCTTAAATTGTGGGCACCAGAACTGGATACAGGATCCCAGGAGCGGTCGCACCATTGCCATACACAGAGATAAAAAAAATATCTCTATGTCTGCTCAAAATTCTCCTGTTTATGCATCCCAGAATGGGCCTGTAACCACGAAATTCAAATCTGGGTGTGAACTTTTTCTTCAAGTTCATCTGGACTCTGGGTGCTGACTTGTGACTGCATTTGCAGAATTACTGAAGATAATGAAAAATTTGCAGGGGAATGACAGCAAGGGTGAATTTTGCTTTTGTTTTCAGAACAATCACTAATATCTCTGGTTACTCATGATGCGGGGACACATCACAGACTGTATGGTTGTTCTTCTAGTAGATTGTTGTAAAGGTGCCAAATTCCACATCAGTTTATGCCCTTCATTTGAGGGAGGCTTGAGAGAAATATAGATCAAGGCAGAATTCGGCTGTCGGAACTTGACTGCACACAAGTTGTATTGTTTTAACTATACTGGTCTTTGTGTATATTCATGCTGCACTTTGTGCCTGGAATGGCCTTCCCTGTCTGGGTGCTTATATAACCCTCAACACTGTCATACTTGAGCACCTCACAATCTCTAGCACTCCTCTGAGGGAGGGAAGTATCATTCCCCTTTTACAGAGGGGAAACTGAGGCACAGGGCAGCTGAAGTCAGTTGCCCAAAGTCACACAGGATGTGAGAGGCAGTGCCAGGAATTAAGCCCTGGTATCCTGAGTGCCTTATCCACTAGGCCATCCTTCCTCCTTATCCCAAGGAGCTCTCCTGCTCCAGACCCCTCAGCTTGAACCAGAACATCAGACGGAAGCCCAGTCCTGATTCTGATCTGGATCCAGACCTGGCTCTGGATTTCATGGCTATGGCTTCTTTCTAAGTATGTATGGCGGTCTAAAGTGAAGAATCAAACATGAACACCCCTCCACCCATCTTTCTGGAGAAGTTCAGATTTGGAAGCCAGCCTGGATCCAAAATTCACATCTTAAGCAGATCTCAACTTAAAGAGCCCCACTGCATTCAATTCGCTGTCCCCCTCCAGTCTCCTCTTGGACACTTCGAACTCCATCTCTGCCTGCCCATTCTTTTTTTGAATACCCCTTCTCTAGGGCACAAGTGTATGTTTATAAAATGACCCTCATGATGCTTTATAAAATACTAGACGCTTAGTTAGTGGAGCAGGGAAATATTGCATAGGAGTTGAGTGACCTTTGTACCTAGTGTCCGAAAACTGCTGGACTCATGATGTCTCTATTTCTTTCAGTTCAGCGTCATGAAGGGTAAAGACGCATCACATGTTCATGGTCGGGGCTCTATTCGTGACTTAGGACCCAATTTAAACAAAGATAACATTTGAAAAGTTTTACCAAGAGTCTGGTTTGGGGACAGAGAGATTTCCCATTGATTTTTCAAAAAGAGGCCTAAGTGTCTCATATGTCTTTGAAAATCTTCCCCCCAAATGAATTAGTTCAAGACAGAAGACTCGGACCTTGCCCATGAAAAAATTAAATTCACCGTTGATTGTCTCCTATTAGAGGCAAAGCAGGTGCTGTCACAAGACAAAGCACTTCTGTAGTTTACACATTAACCTGCAAACCCAAGCAAGATGCAAGTTCTGAAGCATTTCCCACTTTATTCCGTTAGCAGCATCCACTGTCGGTTACAGAAATCACAGGCTCAGTTTAGGCCAAAGGTTCTTTGAGCATTGCTTAAGCAGGATGTTAAAACTTCAGTTATTCTGGAAGTCATTATTTTCAATATCAGGATTAAATCATAAAATGCAGCTCATCTCCTGCAGGGGGCTTTCAGATTACAGCTTTAGAATTTGAGTAAATGAAAGGATTTTTAGCGGGATAGCATGGTGAGATTTCTTATCTATTCCTCCAACGAGGCTTCTAATACTTAAGGAGTGTGGAATAATATTTTAGTCTCTGTCCAGGTGTGAGATACTTAGCTGGAGTCACAGAGCAGGAATTGATTCTCCACTTCTTAAATCTGTCTTGACTCGATGCTTTCCCCACAGGTTTGTCCCAGGCACTAGACACACAGTTTTCCCCATCTGGTTTTGGTCCCTGGATTCAGCTGTAGCCAATGGCCTAAATAAACCTCTGAAGGTGTAGAGATGCCTTTCTCTGATGTAGGGGGTGATTCTGCTTGCTAGAAGCTGGGAATGGGCGACAGGGGATGGATCACGTGATGATTCCCTGTTCTGTTCATTCCCTCTGGGGCACCTGGCATTGGCCACTGTTGGCAGACAGGATATTGAGCTAGATGGACCTTTGGTCTGACCCAGTATGGCCGCTCTTACGTATGTTATTATATTCTGCCTCTTACTATGGAGCTGTCAGTCCTTGGCTTTGCTGAACAAGGTCTGAGAGGAGCACTGAACTTTCAGCCTGGGCCTTCACCCTGAGTCTGCTTTGTCAGCTACATACTGCCTAGTCTAGTGGCTGGATTTAGCTCTGTTACATTGAACCTCCCGTTCTATTGGTCTGTTGTCTTCTAGGAATTTTCTCTCCGACTTCTTCCAAAAGCCTCTGCCGACTGCCCCCAAAGCACCTCTTCTCTTTATCCACTTGGCCTCAGAACACTGTTCAGTGCAGAAAAGGGTTTTGAACAAAGACCCCTTTAGTTTGTTGTGGGAAAGGAGCAAATGGCCTTGCTTTATCTAGGAACATTCTGCTCCTTAGTTCTGTGCAGGACAAGCTGAGGCTCCTTGCCTTGTAAAAATGGGTTCATACTAAATCCAGGCCCATTTCAGCAGAAAGCCTATGCAGCTCTCATTTCCCCAGTTTGAAGCCTATGTGCCTAACCTGTAATGGGTTTGATTTAGATCCAAGCATGATTCTGCAGAGGCAAGAGCCTTTACAATAGAAAAAACGGACAAACGTATTCCTATTCACAAGGCCCCACAGCCAGGCAGAGAGAGAGAGAACCTTGGTCATAATGCTCTCCTACATCCAACCAGGAGCTGTCCTGTCTCCCATGCATTCACCCCAGCAGGGAGAATGGCTGAAGAGGTTCACAGCTACTTAAAGGGGCAGTCCCACTGTAACAGTCAGTGCCCCTAAGGTATTAGGATTCATTCTATGCCCGCATGGATCCCCCTTCACTGTCTTTGATGCCTTTATGGGCATAGTCCTTCTCATGGACACTTTGGGGCTATCTGGAGCAGTGACCCCATCTGCTCTTTCTTTTCTTAGGGTAAGAGATTCTTTCATATCCTGGGACATTCGGGCAACACCGACATCCCTGCAATAATGGCCACATCCAAACCAGAGCGGGAGTTGGACAACATCCTGCTCGTTATAGAACTAGAAAGGAGAAACATAAAGCCAACAGCAAGTTGTTGAACTGGCTTTCCTCTAGGCATAGGCTAGGGAAGGTGAGTGACAAAGGTCGCAGATGGGTAGCTGTGAATATTGCATATTAGGGTTTGCTCAGTTTACAGCTCACAGCCTGACAAAGATATCTAAAGACCTCTTGACCAATCCACAATCTTTCAGCTGCATTCTACAGGGCATGGCTGTATTCGGGGCATTTGACAAGCTAACCCCCCTTCCTGCTGAGGTCTGTGTACACGTCCCTTCCTTCTGAATGCAAATTGGTATCTCATCTGGTGATGGGGTGTCTGAGTCTCACCCTGGCAGGCCTTTCCGGCTCCGGGTTGCTACAGATTTTTCATCCAAAGGCACAGTGTCAGAGATAGCATGGGCATAAGAATGCATAGAATGTTGCTAATCCGCAAAGGGGCAGAGTTAGCTGTTACATTCTCCAAATGCAGGACCCAAAGTCTGTTGAAGTCAATGGGAAGAAGACTCTCGTTGACAGACTTGGGATCAGGCTCCAAGTGAGGAGGGAATTGCTGCATCTTTCCCTGGGCTGGAAGGGAGGTGTCTTGATGCAATTGCTACATTGGAGGGGCAGATTCCAAGGAGGAATGCACAGGGAGAACCCTCAATATCTGTCTAGCGTAAATGATATGACAAGGAAGCTCTACTCTGGGGATCATGTAAGCATCCATCCTGGATTAGAAGGGGAATTAGGAGTATCTTGGCTCCAGCAGAGTGACTTTTGAGGGCCAATGAGAGCTGTGTGTGTAGTCTGAAGGCAGCCTGCATGGATCTTTGATTGTCCATGTTGCATCGTGTCGGTGTTTACATTACAGAGAGCTCTGAGCCAAGATCTGAGCAGCCTCCACTGGAAGAAAGTTCAGATTTGGAGCAAAAATTTTAACTGGCCTCTCTTTCTGAGGTGGGCCAAACCAAAACTCCAGAGCTTCTCAGTGGGTAGCCGTGTTCACCCACCTCTCAACTGGGAGACTTGGCCCAGCTCACACTTCAATCTTCCCAACCAAGCGTTGATGTTAATCCCTCATAGGGGATGAGAGTGGCCTTGGCGGAGGAATTCACACCTTTGTTGTTGATGTTTAGCTGGAGCCAGCTCTCGGCAAGGCTGGGTGGATAGGTGATCAGTGCAAAATAGACCAATGTGCTACCGTGTGGGGATAAGTGTTGGGCTCAGTCTACCCTGGAGGTTAGGCATTAGTGAAAATTGCAGTGCACCAGTGTAAAATTGTGTCTACACTAGGGGTTTGCACTGTTGCCTAAAATGCCAGTGTAAGGAGGCCTTAAACCCCAGCTAGATCACTGGCTCTCATAGGATGGGAGCTGAGGCGACACTTGGCCGTGGTCTACACTGGGGTGGGGGGGGGTGGGGAGTGTCGACCTAAGATACTCAACTTCAGCTACGAGAATAGCGTAGCTGAAGTTGACGTACTTAGATCTACTCACCGCGGCGTCTTCACAGTGCTGAGTCGACTGCTGCCGCTCCCCCGTCCACTCCGCTTGCGCCTCTCGTGGCGGTGGAGTACCGTAGTCGACGGGAGAGCGCTCGGGGATCGATTTATCGCGTCTAGACTAGATGTGATAAATCGACCCCCGATAGATCGATCGTTACCCGGCGGGTAGTGTAGACCTGCCCAGGACTCCTGTGGAGGAAGGAGAGGTAGCGCTGTGCAGTGCTGCCCTCTACAGTTTGCATTAGGGAACAGATGAGAAATTGCACTCAAAGCTCTGCTCGTGCTCTCAGTACACAGCGTGAGGGGCTGCGGAAAGGGGAGACGTGCTGCCTTCGACCCTGCATTGGTCGGGTCCCCGAGTATGGCATTGACAGGCAAGAGTGCTCCTTAGCTAGAGATGAGGCGCTTAGGATGCTTTACTCCCATATCCAGGTCTCCTCCCAGCACTGCGCTCACTCCAGCTCTGGGGACAGGGAAGGCCCCAGAGAAACCAGCTGGTGCTGAGAATTCAGGAAAGGTCATGGAACAGGTTGGCTGAAGTGGGGCTATCCCGTGAAACACCCATTGATTGCATTCCCTTGCAAATGAGCCGATCCTACTGACTCCCGATATGGAGCGCCATGGTTTCTGCGGTGTCAGGGAAGTTTCCTTAAGAGCAGGTGGATCCCACTGCTGGACTTGAGGACAACCTGTGGTATTTCCTTGGGTGGTTTGGCTGGATCAGGAGACAGCTCAAAGCGCAGCAGAGTCAGAGCGAGAGCCACTTTCAGCTCGTTCATGGCAAACTGCTTCCCGATGCAGTTCCTGGAAGAGGGAGGGGAAGCCGATAAGGACGTATGCTCTTGCTTAGAAATCAACTTTCATTCACAAATCTATCCCGAAGCACTTTGCTAGCTGAGTGAACCAACCCAGCTCTTTGGGTCAGTGACCATTTCTCAGGTGTATGTACAGCAGCTAGCACAATGGGGGCCTCATCTCAGCTGGGGCTTTCGGCTGCTACTGTAATATATAGCCTAGACGAATCCCTTCACCCATCACTATAGTGCTGCCACTACTGGGTTAAAACATAGCAGCTGTTGAATAGCGCACAGCAACGTTACCAGGCAGTTTTGGGACAGGTGTGAAAAATGCTCTTTCCCATTGAACCTGCGAGGAGATCCATACAGTTACTCCCCCACTCCCCTACTCAAAGAGATTTTTCCAAGCCACATATATCAATTAGGCACCTAGCTCCCATTGGCTTTTAATGTGCTTAACTGCCACACACATGTGCATGCAATACCTCCCCCTACAAGTGATCCAGAATTCAGTCCCACGAGTGATGGCTCTGGAGTTGCTCTGTAATAATTTAGGGCGCTGGTGTGCTGATCGGATTAGCACAGGGGTTCTCAGACTTTTGTACTGGTGACCCCTTTCACACAGCAAGCCTCTGAGTGCGACCCCCCTTATACATTAAAAACACTTTTTTATATATTTAACACCATTATAAATGCTGGAGGCAAAGCGGGGTTTGGGGTGGAGGCTGACAGCTTGCGACTCCCCATGTAATAAGCTCACGATCCCCTGAGGGGTCCCGACCCCCAGTTTGAGAACCCCTGGATTATTGGGATGTTTATTGTGCGAATATATTGGGTGCAACTGAATAGGGGGCGGTGGGGAAAGCCAAGCAGGAAGGCAAAAGATAAGCCACTTCTCCCCCAGACACTTTGGTGTTAAGAGACAATGCCAGGAGAGGAAAAGGTCCGTGAATGCAGGAGATCAAAAGAACAACGCTGTGTTAAAAAAGGCACACTCTTCTGAGGGGGGGAATTGTTCGGGGGACCCAGGCTGAGATAGGCACCTGCAAGGGTGACAGAAAAAGTGAGGCCTGCTTGGGACCCCGTCAGGCGGTGATAAGCCTTTAGGTGAGATAGACGTGGGTGTAGACCGTTGGCTGTTTTGAAATCTTTTCTCTCTAAGTGCTTTCTTCCGACTGTTAAATAACCCGTGCTTTGGTTGTCAGAAGTCTGGCTGGTTGCTGTAAACCACTGGTCACAGACTCCCGAAGGGAAGAACTGCAGGTGTCTGAACACGGTTGGACCTGGTGGGTCCTGTTGGGCCTGGTCTGAGAGGGGAGAATTGCACAATTCCAACCAGGAGAGGCCCGAGGCCTAAGGCCTGAGGGGGTTCGCTCAGAGACCACAAAGGGGCCAGGGGTGCAGCTAGCCCACCGTGGCACCGTGCCTCTACAAAACGATTGTGGCATGTCAATTACACTCCTTTGGAGATGTAAGGAGGCTTTAAACCCCGGCTAGATCATTGGCTCTCACACAATGGGAGCTGAGGCGACACTTCGGTCTCCTGTGGGGGAAGGAGAACTAGCGCCATTGCAGTGCTGCCCTCTACTGTTTGCATTAGGGAACGGATGTGAAAACTGCACTCAGAGCTCCATCCATCACAGTCCTTTGGAGACAGGCCACTCCAGGGGACGGCTCAGTGGGCATTGTGAAGCAGAAACAGGAGAGGCCAGAGAGTTCAATCACTAAGAAGGAACCTCTGGTTTGGTGCATTCCCGTAGCTCCCCCACTTGGAAGACACAGCAGTATGCAGCCAACTTGTTAGTGTTCAGGGGGTATTAGCAACATCCTGGCAAAATGTATTGCTTTGTTTTCAGCTGACCCCACCCACAGAGTGAATGAAATATCCCCCACCGTGCTCCAGCTGCGAAGGGCAGGAAAGCATGGGAATGCCTCTTGGACAAGTTCTCTGGTGAAAACCTCATGGGATCAAACACCTGCGGGAAGAGAGTTCAAAGGTCTGTGGCAAAGGTTTTTAGTTCCCAAACTACAGCGTTGCTTGGTTTGACGCCAGCAACTTTATAGAATCAGACAAGGTGCATTTGACAACATTGCCCCCCTCAGCTTACGCACAAGATGCGATTTCAGAGTCAAATGTGAGGTCAATTTCAGCCCAGAGTCTGTTGCGGTAGCCCTAACACAGGGGAGGAGGTGCTGAGGTGGAAAGTCTTCTAGGACAGCCGCAGTGCGAAGGGGCAGTGATCTCCCCTCCCATAAGGGGCCAGCACAGCCCAAAATGTGAGCTGTGTTAACCGGGGAAATGCAGTCACCCTGTAAGCTGGGGAGGTGCTGTCCTAACACATCCCTGGTGCAGCCCCCTACTTAAAAAGTGAGCCCTTGTGCTGGGCCCAGAGCACTACTGCCCCTCACCCACAGCTGCCAGGCGACTGACAGGAGTTGCTGGTACAACCAAGAGCATCATCTGCTACATTTGCCCAAAACGCTATGAATCCTTATTCCACCGGACGTACATGACTATGTGTAAAAACAGACCATTCCACACCCTACTCTGTCGCTCTATGATACTCAAAATCTTTAGGGCAACCTCCTTTTTGCAGATCTATCGCATCTTTCATCTGGACAGACGCTACTTGAATAAGATTGCAAAACACCTCGGTAAGGTCAATATTATCCCGGCTTTACAGCTGGGCAAATGGAAGAAGAGAGAAGTAAGAAATGTCTTGCTCAAGGAAGTATGTGGCAGAGGCAGGGAAAGCACCCATCTCTCTTGGTACCCAGTCCTTTGTTTTAACTACGTGACCACCTCTTCTTTCTGTAAAGTTAAAAGTACCTCTGGATCTTGCCATACAGCTGGGTTCCTATGAAGAGAATAAATATGCACTCCAACCAGAGAACCTGTAAGAAAAATGAGAAATAAGAAAATAAATAGGTTAGTCTCTAAGGTGCCACAAGGACTCCTTGTTGTTTTTGCTGATACAGACTAACACAGCTACCACTCTAAAAGAAAAATGTTGGTGACCTCACAGGGCAAACATCTATTCAGCACAACATGCTATCCTGTTAAAGGCCCTTAATCTTCTTAACCAACACACCTGCTGACTGAGAAATACCTTGAGTCATTTCTACCTACATATTTTCACTCCCTTTAGTCCTGCGGAGGCAATGTTAAACTATGGGAGAATGAACTGGGTTCTATTCTGGCTCATGTATCATCAGCAAAAGTGACAGGTCTCAAACTGTAATTGTAAGTGGGGAATCATCATTGAGCTGTGGGTTTCTAGTGGGGTCCCGCAAGGCCCTACGCTATTTAAAAATTTTATCAACGACCTGGCAGAAAAAATAAAATCATCACTGATAAAGTTTGCAGATAACACAAAGATTGGGGGAGTGGTAAATAACAAAGAGGACAGGTCACTGATTCAGAGTAATCTGGATCGCTTAGTAAACTGGGCACAAGCAATCAATGTGCTTTGTAATACAACTAAATGTAAAAGTATACATGTAGGTACAAAGAACACGAGCCACTCTGACAGGATGCGGGACTCTATCCTGGGAAGCAGTGATTCTGAAAAAGATTTGGGGGTCATTGTATGTAGATAATCAGCTAAGCAAGAGTTCCCAGTGTGATGCTGTGGCCAAAAGAACTAATACGATCCTGAGATGCATAAACGGGAATCTTGAGTAGGAGTAAAGAGGTTATTTTTACCTCTATATTTGGCACCAAGAGACCACTGCTGGAATCCTGTGTCCATTTCTGGTGCCCACAATTCAAGAAGATTGTTGATAAATTGGAGAGGGTTCAGGGAAGAGCCATAAGAATGATGAAAGGGTTGGAAAACCTGCCTTATAGTTATAAACTCAAAGAGCTCAATCTATTTAGCTTAAGAATGAGACGGTTAAAGGGTGATGTGAGTACAGTCTAGACTCTATAAGTACCTACACGAGGAACAAATATTTAATAGTGGGCTCTTCAATTTAGCGGAGAAAGGTAAAACACAATCCTCTGGCTGGAAGTGGAAGCTAGACAAATTCAGACTGGAAATAAGGTGTAAATTTTTAACAGATAGGGTAATTAACCACTGGAGCAATTGGCTTCTCCATCACTGATAATTTTGAAATCAAGATTGGATGTTCTTCTAACAGATAATCTCTAGGATTTATTTTGGGGAAGTTCTCTGGCCTGTGTTATATAAGAGGTCAGCCTACATGATCACAGTGGTCCTGCAGGACTCTGCCAGGTGAGTTCGGAGTGCGAAACCTATGTTACTAGAAACGATGTAATGGCAGTAGCAAACCGCATTGTAATATATTAATCTTCAGCATTGGTGGAGAGAAAGAACTTGGAACGCCACAATACTATTTTTACAGTCACTTGTGTGACAATCACTTTACGTTCAGGGTGAGATTTTCACAGCTCGCACAACTGCACACTTACATTTTTGGCTTGTGAAAGTGGAGGGGGGGATGATCTGGCCCTTAGTGGATTTCATCTTTTTTATTGATCTTATGCAATAACTAAACTCTCTTTTTAAAAAAAAATTACACTCAGCAGCCGTGCACGGTCGCCTTATAGAAGTGATCCAAATTCCATTGAAACAGGTGGAAAAAAATCCCATTGTCTTCAAGGGTCTTTGGATCAAGATTGGTGATTTACCAGGCGCACACCAGATGATGCAATATAATATAATCAATGAGCAGATTATCAACAGAGTCAATAGATTTTGCGTCAGAAGCAGGGAATGGTTAGAAGATTGGGCAAGAGCACCTAATGATTAGGGAAGAATGATTGACATGCCGACTGTACTTTGAATCTAGAAGAATGGACTGCAGTTAAAGCCAAGTAACTGACCTACCTCAGGTGAATATTTCACTAGCACAGTTATTGGGGCAAGGGTAACTTCTCCCCTCTCCCCTCCTGCGGTGTGTTTATTGCATGAATTAGTAAAACCAGAAGGAGACGGCAACATGACCCCATGCCTACAAACCAAAGAAATAGACAAGACAGACGCAGGGTGGGGGAAGAACACACAAGGAGAGGAAGCAATGTGATGACAGCAAACAAACACATTAGTTCCATGATTGTATTGATTGATTGATTTGTGGGGAGGGGTTAGTTAGGAGGGGACCAGTGAAACGGAAGGAAGAGGGGTCGGGGGGCAGGGCAGAGGAGAAGTGAGCAGGAGGGGCAGACGGGGCCCTTCCTGCTCAGGGGCAGACGGGGGAAACTGAGGTGAGGAGACGGAGAGGAGGAAGAGTGCAGAGAAAGGCAGAGAACATTCTCCAGCTTTGACTGGAATGTCCAAAGGTCCTTGTTTTGGCAGCTTCTGCTCCTACGGGCTTGCGTCTCTAGCTGGCTGCTCTGCAGTTCTCCCCCAAGGCCACGTGATGGGGGAAGGGGAGGCACTGCCTGGATTCTAGTGATAGAGTGTGCATGTGTATAGGGGGTTCCCCTCACAGTTCTGGGTCTGGGGGATGCTGGGCTGGGCCCCATTTCTCCCTCTCCCCACTAGTGCAGAAGTCCCTGATGTAGTGCTACCCAACAGGCAAGTGGAGAGCATAAAGCCAACAGTCCCCTACCTGCAACGTATTTTCCTGCAAGTTCCCTGCTCTTTTGTGGGTGCCACTAGAACTGGTGTTGCAAGGCATACGCCTGGGACAGGACAGCGTGTGCTGGCCATGGGCATTGCAGGCTGGAATTAAATGCCATGCTCTGTTTGTTTGCTTTCTGATTGTTGAATGTTTTGGTTTCCATTCACATAGCATTTTTCAGTTGGCAGAATCATACCCATCTCACTGAGTGAAGAGAGGAGAGGCAACTGGAGAATTTGGTAAGAGCAAGACAAGGTGAGCAGGACACTATGCCAGGAAGTACAGGGTGAAATTTACCATGATGTCCTAAATGGTCTATTTTATTCAGCCAAGATTTGCTTAGGTAATACAACCCCTAAAGACCTCCATCATTCCCAACATAACAGAAGATAGCAATGATAGGGGTACTCAGTGTGTAAATCTCCTGGGCCTACCCAAAGCGCGTTGAGTCAATGAGAGTCTTTCCATTGGCTTTGAAAGGCTTTGGATCCAGCTCTATAACTGTTGTTCCCATAGAGCTCTCTGCCTTTATTGAGTCAATGAGACCATGACATGAGCAATTTCGGCTCAGTCCTACAGTGTACGGCCAAGCAGTCTTGTGGTGTGATCTTGTCTGATCTCACAAGCTAACACAGCTCAGTCCTAGAGGTAGTAGAATAGTTCAATGCAAATAATATTCGTTGCACATTAGGGTGCACTCTCTCTCTTTCTTGTCTTCCCCGCATTGAATGATTATTAGTAATAAAGATTTCCATTAGATTGTAAGCTCTTCTGGGCAGAGACTGCCTCAAATCATATGTATATGTATAATGTCTCATGTGTATGCAATAGTGCCTAGGAAATGGGACTTCCTTCTTGGTTGGTGCTTCTGTATACCTCCAATATACAAATAATAAACAATATCTGGGATTGTCAAATGAGATTAAGGGAATTGGGCACCCAAATTCCATTCAACTCCAGTGAGATTTGGGTGCTTCATTCCCATAGGCTCATTTGAAGCTCTCAGCCAATACTAACAACATTCAGCCAACTCTGGCCGGAGTTGAGATGGGAGATCACTAAGGCATGCATGTGTGAAACAATGGTTGCACCGATTCAAAGCATCCCCTAGATGGACTTAGTTGGCAGGACTCCCATGGAATTTCAGGAGGAAACTGGCACTGCTATTTTCTAGCAAAGTCTCTGAGGTCGGGCAGGCAGCAGTCCTACCTACCCTCCCTAGGGTGAATCGCCCCAGGGCTCAGTGAGACAGGTTGGTACAGGAAAGTGCAATTTGTAATGGACATTCAAAGAATCATGTTACAATTTACAATGAAGACAGAATAGGCCCTGGGAGCACCACAAACCACTCAACATTTCCTAGATCTTCACTAGGATGTCACAGGAGAATGTCTTCCACTCTGGTTGACATGAACTACATTCAGGGCCAAAGTGTGACTTCAATGGGAGTGGCATGTACGCAGCTGAAGGTAGAATTGGGCCCTTAAGAAGGAGGAGGCTAAACAGACCTTCTGGTAAGGTACGTCCATCGGGGAACGTGATGGGTTTGCTGAGCAGTCGGGACACTGCAGGTACTGGAGGGTAAAGGCGAAGGCTCTCTTTGATGCACATGGTGCTGTAAATCATTTTGCCAAGGTCATCCCTGAAAGCAAGCATAGGTGGAGAGTATGAATGAGTAACGGCCCCTACCGCTATGAAAATACTAGCTAGCAGCATCAACACCAGCAAACCAAAGATCTAGAATTGAAATGCCCTTAACACAAGGGAAGTTTGGGTTTGGCCTTGGATCTGTCCTTCATAGCATTGCTATACTAAGTGTTGATCCTTCAGTGCAGAGCTTGTGAAATAGATCCATTTTCAATTCCTCAAACTGAATACCTAAGAAAATAATCCCAAACCAAATTATATTAAACTAGTGAAAACAACAAGGAGTCCGGTGCAACACATGTTGTTTTTGTGGATACAGACTAACACGGCTACCCCCTGATATTAAACTAGTGAGGTAACATCTCACCACTGAATGGTCTCTCTGTCTCCCAGAATCTCCTTGATCTCTTCCCTGCATCGCTGCTGGTGCTCTGGGTACAGGGCCATGCAGTACAAGAGCCAGGAGACCCCACTGGCCGTGGTATCGTGACCCTCAAACATAAACGTGTCCACCTCGGCACGTAGGTCTTCATCGGATAATCCAGCTCCGTTTTCATCCTAGCAAAGCAGGGAGGTAAATAATCCCCAAACAAGTGTTCATTTCATGAACAATTTTTGGAGTGAAAAAATACACCTTGATTACTGGTGAAGATCCCAGGCTTGATTTGTCTTGTTTACACCAGAGGAAATCAGGTGTCAGTCCACTGAAAGCAACGGAATTATGCAGGTGTCTACCTGGTGTAAGTGAGGTCAGACTCAGATCCATTGAGTACAAAGGCAGGCATTCCCCTTCTAGGATTAGCAAGGCAGCAGAGATGGGCTATGATTCAAGTTACTCATCAACACGGTGTCACATAACAACCTTCAGGGCTGACAAACTGAATATCAGCCAACAATGTGAACCTCTGACCTAGCCCATCCCTGACAGGTGTTTGTCTCAGCAGCCCAGACCACCTGCACAGAGCTAAAACCATTCTGGGGTGCATTAGCAGGAGTGTTGTATGTAAGACACGGGAGGTCATTGTTCCACGCTACTCAGCAGTCGTGAGGCCTCCGCTGGAGTCCTGTGACCAGTTCTGGGCACCGCCCTCTAGGAAAGATGTGGACAAATTGGAGGGAGTCCACAGGAGAGCAACAAAAATGATAAAAAGTTCAAAAAACCAGGGGGCTCTATGAAGAAAGGTTAAAAAGCCTGGGCTTGTTTAGTCTTCAGAAAAGAAGACTGAGGGAGGAACGGTAACAGTCTTCAAATATGTTAAGGGCTGTTATAAAGAGGACGTGGATGAATTGTTCTCCCTATGCCCTGGAGGTAGGACAAGAAGTAACAGGCTTAATCTGCAACTGGGGAGATTTAGGTTAGATATTCTAACTCTAAGGATAGCTAAACTCTGGAACAGGCTCCCAAGGGAGGTTGTGGGATCCCTATCACTGGAGGTTTTTAAGAGCAGGTTGGACAAACACCTGTCGGGGATGGGCTAGGTAGAGGTTCCCAACTTGTTTTTGCTGAGACCCCACTTTGGAGATTTATGTCTCATCTGAGCCCCACTCTTTCTAAGAAACAGTATTTTTGTAGGGGGTGGCGTGCCTGGTACCCAGAGGAGCCAGCGAGGGTCCTCACCATGTAACAGTCGAGGAAGCCTTCAGCTCCCTGCCATGGTCAGGCAATCTCTCAGGGGCAGCAAACTGGGCCGCGCTGAAGGGCCGGAGTCAGGACAGGAGCAGAAAACTGCACCCTGTGAGTACTGGCCCCCTTGCTTAGGGTGACCAGCCATCCCGTTTGTAAAGGAACAGTCCTGTATTTAGGCTCTCCTGCAGGTGTCCTGACTTTTTCTTAAAAATGGGCAATTTGTCCCATATTTTCTGTCTCTTCCCCATCAGTACTGGCGGATCCTGTTGCTGGCCGGATCCCTGCTTGCCAGCCGTCTGCCCACCTGCGGTGAGTGAGGGGGTCCAGTGGCCGATGATGGGGGTGGGTGTGCAAGGCTGGTGGCAGGGCAAAGCTGCAGCGCGGGGCCAGCTGCTCCCCAGGCTGGTCCGTCAGCACAGCCCCCGCCGTGTGCTGGCTCTTGGCCAGCAGGACCCTGCCCCCCGTCCCCTTTCCGGCTGCGCGCTGTGAGCTGCGGTGGCTGGTGAGTGCAGGCAGGCGCTAGGCAGCGGCCGGTTACGTGTCACCTCTGCTGCCCACCCATTGGCCCTTTACGTGCTCCCCCTCTCGCTGTCCTCTCCCCGCTTTGCCCCTTCACCTCCCCGAGCCCCACTGCTCCTCCGTATCCCCCCCAGCGGGGTGCGTCCCGCTCCCAGCGCTGTGCGGAGAACCAGTCCCTGGTCGGAGCGCTCAGCTCACTAGCAGCCTGGCGGGCAGGCTCCTCCCTTCCTTCCCCCACTGCCTCTGGCTGGGCCAGTGCCCCAGGAAAGCCCAAGAAGCTCTGGCCACACAGCGCTGGCATGGGGAAGCCGCTCTGCCCCTCAGCTAAACTCTGGAGTGGCGGGGGGAGGAGGGAGAAGTGATTTCCCAGCCTGTTCGCGCCCTGACCCTGCAGGCTTCACAGCAGCCCCCTGGGCAGGGGCGTAGCACCCTCTTCACCTGCCCCCCCCCCGGGTCCTGCCCCCAGGGAGCGCGGGGCTGCTCCATCTCCTAGGCACCCTCCCCTGCTGAGTCACCTCTTTGGCCGGGTTCACGGAAGCCCCTGCAGTCAGGGTCCCTGGGCCCTGGTGCACCATGCATCCTTAGGGCTTAACCCCTTCCTGCCCACGCTGTAGCCATGGGACAGGAAGCGGCTGGGTTATCTTGGTGGCCACCAGCAGCCTGGAGGTGTTCCCCCCACCCTGATCCCCTGTGGCTGGAAGCAGCTCCCATCCCTTCCCTCCCACACAGTGCTGAAACGCTGCTGCCGACCACATTCTGGTGTGAACCCTGGCGGAAATCCGGGGAGGGAGGCATGTGACCCTGCGTGCCCCTGCACGTGTTGCCTCGGGAAGACGCGGTGCCAGGTACCAGGAGAGGCAGGTCTGTCCCAGGGACCCAGCCAGGCATGAAGGGAGGAGAGCGCAGGGCAGGGAAGGTCAGGTCAGTTGGACACCCCACCATGTGTGAGAGAGGTGTACAGGAGTGTGTGTGTGTCACCTCTCCCCGTGTGAACTCTAAAGCCTTAACGATAAGAAGGTAAATAAAAAAAATCCAACTACGCAGTATTTCTTTTGAACAGGGGCTCAGTCAACATGAAGTTAAGTTGAATGTTTGAACTGCATAGTTCTGATTGATTGTTGGTGAAGTCGCTTAAATACGAGTAATTTTTCCAGGTGTCCTGTATTCAGCAAAGGGAAATAAAACGCTACCCTTGCTGGACAGCCCCCGGGCATTTGGCATGGCCCCATCTGCTCTCCCGACGCAGGTTCTGTCCAGCAGGGGAAGTGGATGGGGCTCTGTGCCCTAGGGCCCCACTTAAGGGCCAAGGTCAGGAGGGGGTCTGTCTGGCGGGGGTGGGGTGGGGTCAGTACTCCCGGGGTGCATCCTTAGGTCCCCGGCTCTCCGAGTCCCCACCAGCCTCCCCAGTGGAGGAGGGTAACTGCTGGTTGGGGGCTGCTGCAGGTGCGGCATTGGAGGAGTGAGTTGGGCATGAAGCCTGCTCTCATCAGCCCAGACCACCTGCACAGAGCCCCACCTGCTTCCCTGCCAGACAGAGCCCCCTCCTGAGCCTGGCCCTTTGGCATGTCTCCCCCCGCCAGGTCCTCACGCCCCTCCAATAACCCCACTGCAGACACCCCAGGTATACTTAGTCCTGCCTCAGTGCAGAGATCCGCCCAACTGGTGGCCCAGGGGCCAGATCTGGCCCATAGGCCGATTCCATCTGGCCCCCAGGTGTCCACTCCCCCAGCAGCAGCTGCCCAGCACGCAGAGAGTATTTCAGTGACATGCTGCATGTACCAGAGACTGTCTGTACAAAATGGCATCCTCTGTGCAGCATGGCCTTGTAAGTATGGTGCGTGCGGTCACGCTACGTGGAGGACGCCATTTTGTTTCTGTACGTGGCCCGCCCAGGTGCCACACAACTGCACATACCGCCTGCGACTCTGAAAAGGTTGAGGCACCCGAGGGCCCTTCCAGCCCTGCATTTCTGTGCTTCTATGGTAACTACCATGTGTTGTCCACTCTCCTCAGAAGAATTCTTATTCCTTTTTATTTTTTCTATACACAAAGCGAAGTTATGTACTTTCAGCCAGGATATTTTAAGATTACAAGACAAACAACAAACAATACAAGAAAGAACAAAAGTAAAATCCCGGGGGGGGGGGGAACAGTGGCGTAGTCAGGTTCTAAGTGCAAGGGGGGCAAACATAAAAAAGGCGCCCCCCCCGCCCCCCCCCCCGGCCCCCCCCCCCCCCCCCCCCGGCTTCTCCGGCTGCATCCCCCCCCTTGGCTCCTCCTCTGGTCACACACCCCTTGGCTCCTCCTCCGGCTGCTCCACGCCCCCACCCGGCTGGCTCCTCCGGCCGCGTCCCCCCCCTTGGCTCCTCCGGCCACGCTGCGCCCCCGCTCCCAGACACCCCGCTCATTGGGTCCGCGCTTACCTGGCTGCCCAGGTGCCTCTGATGAGCTATCTCCTCCTCCCCCACAGCGCCAGGGCGCCCAGCTCCTGCTGGTTCCCGCTGAGTCCGGCACGACCTAGGAGCCAGCTCCCCACGGGGAACGGAGACCAAGCCCCGCCCGCTTGCCAGAGGCAGAATGCAGCACCCCGCATGCCGCCCGTTTACAAGGGCGGCAAACAACACCGAAGCACGTCTTTACCTTGAGGTGCCCGCGCTCCGGCCGTCCAGCGCTGGCGGGAGAGCGGGAATGGGGAGGAGAGGGAGGCAGCTGCAGCTAATCCCCTGTTTGTGGCCAGGCTTCCCGCAGCAGCTGTGCGGGGCGCGTTTGCCCCGCGTGGCAGTGTGCCACCCTCCTGGCCAGGCGCGGGCGGCTGCACTGGAGTCCTGCAACGCGCGGCTCTGGCTGCACCCGTGGAGAGGAGCTGGGGAGAGGGGGAGGACCCCCGCGCTCCCTCTCCCACCCACCACAGCGGTCGCTGCAGCCCTCGCTGCTGCTGGCTGGCCCCTGCACCCGCGAAGCAGCCGGTGCATCCCCCTGCAGGCGGCGCTGCTCAGGGGGCACTTTGCACCCCACAGCCCGGAGAGCTGGAGCCAGGGCCGGCTCCAGCATTTCTGCCGCCCCCAGCAAAAAAAAAAAAAAAAAAAAGCCATGATTGCGATCGGCGGCGGCAATTGGGGAAAAAAAAAAGCCGCGATCGGCGGCGGCGGCAGTTCAGCGGCAGGTCCTTCGCTCCTAGAGGGAATGAGGGACCTGCCACCCCCGAATTGCCGCAGGTGCCGCCCCTCTCCCTTGGCCGCCCCAAGCACCTGCTTGTTAAGCTGGTGCCTGGAGCCGGCCCTGGCTGGAGCAGCAGCAGCACCTGTGCCCGGGCAGCGGCAGCGCCTCCTCCCGTCTCTCATTTTCTTCTCCCGCGCTCCGAGCCGGGTGCCCCGCTGCAGCCCCTCCATGCCGCGAAACCGCCGGCGCTCTGCCTAGTGCCGGAATGTCTTGAGCTGCTGCCACAGCAGCTTCCCCCCTCCCACCGCCGCGCCACGCCACGCAGGGACCCAGAGCTCCGGCAGCTCCCAGACACCCCGCTCAGGCGCCGCTTTTGAAAAATGTGCTGAGGGGAAGCGGCCGCTTCCCCTGCACCCCACTAGCTACGCTACTGGGGGGGGGGAAGGAGAAGGAGAGTGAGAGCACAGTGTGTGTGTCTCTCCCCTGTAAGAGTCTGCTCTGAACTGAACTCCAAATGGCAGCTGTCTCCAGCAGACCAGCAGGCACTTAGAAATTTCAAGATGCAGTACATAGGAAACCAAAAAGGGAACATTTACCTAGTTACACACAGTATAGACAACACCCCCTCCCTGGAACCCTCCCTAGAATATGCCAAAGGTCTCATTCACGCTTACATGCTGTGGTGCCGCTGTTCCTGTATGTATTAACGTGCTGAGTGAAAATCAACTCACAGAGAGGAAAGAGTTAATTACCCTCATAGCACTGTTACTACTTGTAGTTATTCATTCACTGAGCACTGTCCTTTGCACACCCTTGCTTGACATTTCTTACCTTCACTTCCAGCCCCGCTATCAGCCGACCGAATTAGACGTGAGGATATATACGATGGGGAAGCTATTGTCAACAATAGCCAGGTGTGTCTGCTGATGCCACTTCGGGAAACACGTCGGTTGCTTGGCTGTTTACATGATGATTTCAAACACTCACCTTGGCACACAGAAGAATGTCCAGAAAATCCAAGTACTTCTTCTTCTGGATCTTTTCAAGTTCTTGCTGATCTTGGAGGGACGTCTTTCTCTCTTTTATTACTTTATCTGCATACGAGAGTGGCAAATATATTAGCTACCCCTCGACATCACTGTGACCTGTCTGTCTGGAAAGGTCATGCAGTTGAGCAATCAAAGGATCAGAGTCTGAGGGTCTTCTGCTTAATGCAAATGATGAAATATAGTAGACCAGTGCAGGAGATGAGATCTCTTAGAACCAGGTATTAGGAAGACTTTGTATTTCTAAAGTACTGTCATTGACGGATAGGTCCATCAATGGCTATTAGCCAGGATGGGCAAGGATGGTGTCCCTAGCCTCTGTTTGCCAGAAACTGGGAATGGGTGACAGGGGATGGATCACTTGATTATCTATTCTATTAATTCCCTCTGGGGCACCTGGCATTGGCCACTGTAGGAAGACAGGACACTGGGCTAGATGGACCTTTAGTCTGATCAGTATGGCCGTTCTTATGTTCTTATGTCCCTTCCACTGAGAGACCTCTCAGAACATTACAAACAGTGGAATCATTATCTCTATTTTGCAGGTGATCAAACTGACCTGTGGAGAGACAAAGTAACTTGCCTGAAGTCCCACAGTAAATCAGTGACAGAGCGAGGAATAGAAATCCACCCTTAGTGGAATTTCACGGAAGTTCATGGAATTCCACCAGCATTGGATTTGGCCCTAGATTTACTGACTACCAGCCTTGTGCCTCAATTTTAAAACCATTCTTCTTCCCTGGAGAATTAGTGAAAAAGTTTCTCCAGGGTTTCCATTCATAGACAGACCAGCTAACAGTAGGTTAATCCCACCAAACTAGGCAACATCCTACAGTCTATAGGAGAAGACAAGGAGGACACTGGGAAATACCTGTATGCTGGTGTGCTAGTTGGCAGGCCTCCTGAAAGCGACGTCCTTGAGGACTGATTTGATAGATGAAATCATTATGAAATGGGAAAAAGCGGATTCTATGAAACACCAGGTAGGTCAGGTCATAGACTGCTTTGATGTAGTAGTCTGAGTCACTGAAGGAAAAGAACAGTCAAATAAGGCTACTATGGACCTGGCTGACAAGAACATTTTTGTTAGGATTTGAAAGCACCTGGCACTGACCTGTCAGTCTGGCAGTTGCTATGACAACTGAAGGCACATTTCATGATGCTGTCCAGGGTCATCAAGCTGACATGTTCAAAGAGCTCCACTGATTTATCCAGTGTGATCAGCCGTTCCCACTTATCCTAACGGAGGAGAGAGAGATGAGGAGGGATGGGATTCCAGAAAAGGGTTTTGCTGACTACAGAGATCCCATTCAGTGCCCTTTATTTATTTTTGTTGCTTTCCATATCTGCATCCTGCCAAACCCCTGTTGCATGTTAGACCCTGGTCTGTAAGCAAAGACTCTGATCTAAAAAGTACAATGTCAGCTGGGATTGACATTCTGGAACCAGATTACAGGATTATTTATTTATGGCTGGAGATCAGGCCAAAATGAAAAACTAGATCTGAATTCTTCTTTCCCCATCTTTGGGGTCGGTAAGATCTGGATCTGCATTTGGATTTTGTTGTCCTGAACCTGAACTAGAAACCAAAATCCAAACATCCCTAAAGCAAGTTTGGAGCCAGACCAGGAGTGGCTCACAGCCATTTCTATTTACAAGTGGTTTTCATGATATCCTGAGATTATTTTCAGCAAAATGAAAAGAAACTGATCTGTGTAATAGGTCTTTGGCCAATTATTTTTGGCAGGAACTAGATCCAAATCTGAGGAGGGAAGGGAGAATCCACATACAGTGGTGCATTGTTGATCTAATGTATTTTCTAGAATGTCTGTCACCACTGGCATATCTAATGCGCAACAGATATAACCGGAAATCAAGGTAAATTAAGACTTGAGTTCATTTTTACTGGTTTCATAATTTATATGACTCAGCAGCGAGCCTCTCCACATACATTAATGTCCTCTGAGCAAAAGTTCATTGACAATTCAACAGATACACCATGCCAGAAGGATTTGGTTATCTGAGTCCAATCCAGCTGGATTAAAGGATGTGTCTACAATTTTTTTGATCTCTGCAATTGAGCAGGGCCGACGAGAGGTACAAATTACAAATTACCAGGGCCCGGGGGTCCGGAATGGGGCCCAGGACCCGGCTTCCCCCCCCCCTCGTCGGCCCTGTTTAGCCGGTCCACCCTTGCTGGGGGGCCCAAAAATTTTTTTATGGGGCTCTCGGCCGCCCTGCAACTGAGTGATTGTCTCTAGCAAACTGTTTTATTTGCCAGCATTGTAAACAAACTAACGTAAGTTTAGCAACAACCCTTATTAAAAAGCGAGACATAATGGTTATTTCTAGGTGGTTAGAGCACACCTCAAGTGATGGTTGAAAATCTGAAGACGTTTGGGGCCAAATTAATCTCTTGATGTATCTCCACTATAGTCAGTGGAGTTACCCCAGAGGTCAATTTGGTTCAGAGACTTTAATTATTATTAGGGACATACAATCCTTGCGAATTCACAGTTTCTAGCTAAAGAGAGTATTTTGAGATAAAAGGACTCTTCCAACAAGCTGGGCTAGTAGAAGTGGGCACCTTATGGATAGTGCATGATAGTATATGAACTTCATTAGATTCCACCCTGAGCTCCTCTTCACCCACTCTTCGTTCCCTCTATTTTATACTAGCCCAAGTTTAGTTTCTTATCTGGCAGTCAGCCTGTTCTCCTCATTTATCTTCTATATTCACCATCCCCAGGCTGAGAAAAGTTATTGTATTACTGTTCACTTTATTGGAAACCAGGTGACAGAAAATTATCTTGGGCCAGATTCTAAACTGATGTAGGTTGGTGTCGCTCCACTGAATTACACCAGCTGGCCCCTTTACTAAAGGGTTGTAGAGCGATTGTGGGACGCAAACTGTTTAGAACATCTCGTTCCACTTTCTTCTAATTGTTCAACATCAGACCCAGTTATTTTCCTGGCTCTGCAGCTGAAAGCACGGTTTTGGTGATGATTCCTACCAGCATCACTTTGGTAGACTCTGCCATCAATGAGACATAAGGTTTCAGCACATCATAATGAAACCCTGGTGTCAGCAGCCTTCGATGCTGGAACCACTTTGGCCCATGTAAGATCAGTAATCCCTTGCCTGGGGAAATATAAATAGCAAAGAGCCAGTCAGATCACTCCACAGTACAATGAATTACTATTATTATTTTTTATAGCACTCATAGTAGTCTTGGTGCTTTGAAGAGAGGGAACATTTAAAACATGAATACTTAATTCTATACCTAAGCAAGTCCTCAGTGGATCGTATTCTGAGGGATGGTACCATGAGGAAGGAGAGGGAGTCTTAAGAACTTGATGAGAGATTAGAAAGATCACACCATTCGAGAGGAGGGGGAATGGCACTTACTGAAAGAAGGCAGGGGCAAAGGTGGAAGGGGCTCTATATTTGATGTAGTACCTTATTGGTATTTTGATAGCAGCCACACAGGGCCCTTAATAAGGCTGAAATTAGTTACGCCCCAGCAAGTATGAAATCTCTGTCGCACCAACTAGAGCCGGGCAAAACCAATTTTCAATGAAAAGGGTCAAAAAACTGAAAGCCAAAAATATTTTGGTTTTCCAAAATGGAAAATTTTGGTTTTACACTGAAAACTTTATGGGTTTTATTTGATGGCAACCATTTTTCTTTTGGTTGGAAACCCAACATTTAAGTTTTCTGCATTTTCCCCCAGGTTTTTGACTAAAAGCAGAAATGTTTTGCATGGGAGAGAAAAAAATTTGCAACCAGCTCTACAAATGACAGGTATTAGCAATGTTAATACCCTGTGCCATGGAATGACATGGTGCAATAAACATCAGCAGCTGGGAACAATAACACTAATGTCCAGAATTACCCTGATGCACAAAGTGTGGTTCTACTCAGTAAAAGCAGAATTATGGAACTCAGTGCATATGCGCCTTGCTGAGTCCACACACAGTTTGCTCAGTTTACAGTTTACCAGCCCTGTAAACTCAGCTTTGGTTCTGAGAGTCAAGCTGGGTTTTTTCCTTCTCAGGCATCCTCAGTGACACCTGCTAACCCCATTAGACTTCAGTGAGGTTGCAGTGGTGGCACCGAGGACATAGTCTGAAGACCATGAAGCTGAATATGTGTAATTGGGGGCATCATTTGGCCTGCACAATCTCAATTGTGCATTGGTTATGAGGGGAAGGTAATCACCGTCATCTGAAATATCAGATACTAGCCGCTGTGGAGCAGGATTCTGGATAAAATAGAGAAATGGTCTAGTCTAATATGGTATTTCCTGTGTTTGTCATGTCATCCCTAGTAGCTTTCCATAGCAGAATGGTAATCTTCTCTGGTTTTATAATAGCAAAGAATAAAGTAAATCAAATTACAAGAGAAGTGTGTGGCCCACCATGAACTGATGAAGCAAGGAAACTGAGGACGAGGGCTGAAACTCTGGGCTAACACTCCAGGACATAGCATGCCCTTGATTCATTCATGAAACTGTTCAAAAGGATGGACGAAGCATGATTATACATACCAATCCAGGGAATTAAGAATTTGTAGGTTGCAAGACCCTTGGGATCTGTGAAATTCAACAGAGAAGATAAGTACAATGTTAGGAGTTGACGCACCATGAAAACAAAAATCTAGCTGCATTTCTGGTATGAATTCACTCTTCTAGTCATGGCGATGGAGCTCAATTAATTAGGAAATGAGTGTATAGAAATTAGACAGCTAAATCTTTTCAAATTATTTAGTATATTAAATATTTAAAGAATGTTTCTTTTTATACTATTAATACATTTTAAAGAGGGTCTTTGTAGTGGGGCGGCTGCCCCACTCCCTGAGAATTTAGGCTGTAGCAGGCCAGTGGGCCTGCGCAGATGGACAGCCAATAAGAAAAGGGCTTATTGGGAGCCAGTCAGGGCCCAGATTGGAGGCAGCCAATCAGAGCCAGGCTCAGCCCTATAAAAAGGCTGCTCAGGGAGAGAGCAGGAGTCTGTCCCAGGCCTTTGATAGGGGAAGGTCTGTCTCCAGAGCTGGGAGACTAGCACCTGGGACAGCGCAGTGCTGGGCAGGCCCGGGGGACCAGAAGGGAACTCCAGCCTGGTGTCTGCCAGGCTGCAGGCCCTGAGGGGAAGGGCCTAGCTGGTGCGAGGGGTCGAAGGGGAAGCGGCCCAGGAACGTGGACAGATGGAGGGAGAGAAGGAGGGCAGGATGGTTGCTACTAGAGGGTCCCTGGGTTGGGACCCAGAGTAGTGGGTGGGTCTGGGTCCCCCCCCCATTCCCCTTTGCCTTACACCCGGCCGACAGGAGCGGTTGTCTAGGGCTGAACCAACCCCCTGCCAAGAGGGGTGTGACTTTGGGGGTGCAGTTGCCCACATTGGCCGGGGCACAGAAAGACAGCTGATTGGTCCCCCCCACCTCCCGGAAGGGGGCGAGGATGGACTAAGGGGCACTGCCAGAGGGCAGTAGCTTGAAGAGGACGCCGCAAGTTGGGAGCAACGCGGGTCCACATGCCAACCGAGGGCAAGACGATGGACGGGACACCACCAGGAGGGGGCACTCCACTGGACTGAGCTAATTCCCAGAGTTACCAGCAGAAGGTGCTGTGGTGGGTGAGTCCCAACACTGTTACAGTCTTTTACATTAATTAGATGCACACGGGACTGGGGAGGATGATGGGAAGATGAGATTAGAGATATGGGTGAGGAAAGGGAAGGCCACAGAAGCTTTTAAAGTTGAGGAAGGTCATTTTGTGCTGGAGGAACAAGAAAGTCAATGGAGATGCTATTGCCAGATCAAGGCCTTGGGCCTGATCTTCAAAGGTATTAATGTGCCAGGCCCAGGCCACATCAGGGATAACATCGACATCAATGATCCACCAGAGCAGCTGTGCTCTTCTAGGGTCATGATGCAACTGTTGAGATTAGGCTCATCCAGACTCTGACGGCATTTAGGATGTGCAGCAAGAACCTCCTCTTTGAAAAAGCTTTCCCATCTGAACTGGACTAATATTGAGATATACTTCTAGATAGTAATCTCTTCAGGACAGGGTCTGTCATTTGTTCTGTGTTTGTATAGTGTCTAGTCCTAGAACAATGTGGCCCCGATTTAGTCATAATCCCTAGGTACTACCACAGCAGTAATTATAATAATTAGAGCTTCCTACACTAGAAAGGGAGAACAACGGAAGACTCTGGGATGTCATGTAGGAGATGTTCTGTGCTGCTTTTCCTGGCAACAACTTAGATACTATGGTGGTGGGTGCTCTAGGAAACCCTAAGACAGACACATTTCTGAGGGTGCAGGTGTTTGGTTCCCATTTCCCGCTGTGGGTGAGTATAGAAAGTGCCTCAATTTAACGGTGAAGAGTTACGCATTTGGGAAGGGTATAAAGGAGGGAATTGCAATAATCGACAGAAGAGACAAGCAGGAAGAAGAGTCTGAATGGTTCTCTGTGGAAATAACACTTGGCCTTTGCAGTGGGAGAGGGCATCAAGTGCGAACCTTTCTGAACTAAGCTCCAGTGACCGTACCTCCATGGCCAAACACAGTTTTGGCATAATCAGGGTGGTTGACTGTTAAGGTAGCCATGAAACCTCCAAACCATCTGGGGTAGGCATAGGGGTACTTTTTTGCCCAAGACAGCAACTTGTTTAATTCTCCACCTTGAGAAATCTGCAATGATAGTGAAAAGAGAGTGTGAGAGAGCTTAGGGAGGGAGAAAGGGGTGAAATCACATCAGCATGGAAAGTCTGCACAAGGCCATCTGGGCCGCTCAAGGCCTCTCTGTGGGAGATAGGGAGCAGGTGTAGTGGATTTGCAATGAGGGGCTCTGCCCCTGAAGCTAGCAGGAAGAGGGGGGAGGGATAGTTTAGTGGTTTGAGTGTTGGTTTACTAAATCTAGGGTTGTGAGTTCAATCCTTAAGGGGGCCATTTAGGGATTTGGGGCAAAAATCTGTCTGGGGATTGGTCCTGCTTTGAGCAAGGGGTTGGACTTGATGACCTCCTGAGGTCCCTTCCAACCCTGATATTCTATGATGCTATGCTGGCCCCAAACTGGCTGGGATAGAGAGGGCCAAAATCTACACAAAGTGGCTACAGAGTTCCAGAGGGAGCTGCATTGCAGCTCTGTCTCCTTTGCAAATCACAATAGTAAAGCTTAACACTCCCCTTGCACTGGGGAAAAGAGGCAGCTGCTTGGAAAATTTGCTATTTTTTTTTCAGAGAAATGTCAAAAATTAACATTTTCCTCTGAATTTTTTAAATAAAAAACTGAAACCCAAAACCTGAAAATGTTGGGGGTGCTTGAAAGCTGTTTTAAGTTACAATTCTTAGGTTTAAAAAAATTTCAGCTTAAAAAACAGTTTCTGGTTTTGCATCAAAAAAGGAACACCATCAAAATGAAAATTTCCCATGCAAAATTTTTGCTTTAGACAAAGCCATTTTTTTTTGGCTAAAATTGCATGTTGATGAAAAAATATTGACATTGCAAGAGGCAAAGCAGGGCAGAATCAGGCTCAACATTTTAAACCAGCGACACTCAGACCTCAGTGGGTCAGGAGCCAAATTAGCGATCAACATTACCCAAAAGAGCCACAGTAGTGAGAATTCATTGCTTCATTTACTATAGTACTATAGATTCATCTTTAAACAGTATGACCAGGGAATATCTATCTATCTATCTCATAGCAAAATGACTGACCAAGTAATATTTTATCAACTACAATTGGTTAATAACACAGTAAAAGCATCCTGATTGGTTAATAACTTAGATTGATTAATAGTTAAATCACACAGTAGTTTAATATCATGTGCTGCAAAGATCTACAGGGGACACATTAAAGAGACACTTGCAGATCGAGAGTCACGGTCTGAGTATCACTATATTAAACATGTATTTGATGTCAATCTGTTTGAGTTTTGGTGAGGTGAACATTGCAATTGGATAAAAAAACTGCATAAAGCCCCAAATGGCTGCATCATGAAACGCTGAAAATGTTTGAAATAAAAATTCCCCATATTCACACACACAGCAGAGCTTAGTAGCTGTGAAAACAAACTCAAACCTACTTCCTACAGAGAAGATGCCTCTTAAGTGGAGGCAAGAAACTTTTTTTTATGTTGCTCCTATTAAATTTGATCATCAAAGTCCTGATCCTGGAAAGCATGTTAACTATAAGCGGGTGAGTGAGTAACCCGTGTCAAGTCTGTTTGCTTAAAGGACTGGAGCTGAAAATTGGACACAATTCTTACTGTGGCTGCATTTTTATTTGTCCCCCCACAAACATGACACTAACATACGATTGTGGTGTCTGTTAAAGGGTAGGACAAGAAAACCGCTGCCTGCCAGGATCCTTTACTAACAAACAGATTTCACAGACCCCACTCACTGTATTTACCTTCCCTCTGCCTATTCTCTGTGGAAACTAATCTGGATGGTGTATATATAGCTGCATAACCCCACGTCTTTCCCTACCTGAGAGCTGTGGCCATACAGCCAGTGGCTGGGGGGACCTGGGAAACTCTCAAAAGCTTTGAGGAGCTGTTGTCTCTTGCGATACAGATGGATCGCTTTCAGCAGCACGTAGATGAGGCAAAATCCAGTGGCCAGGTACAAAAGCAGAGAGGAAGAGGTCGCTATTTTCTCCAGTGCAAATGCCATGGTCCTGCAGCTTCTGAGGCAGTGACAGGCTCTGAATCTCTCACCGTGCTCACATTCCTTTTGGGTCTGGATTAGCCAATAGTCAAAGCAATATAACTCCCTCCCCTTTCCCACACAAGCTTGTGTGGAGTGCTGTGTGCCGAGTAACCTACTGGGAATGTACAGGAGAAAGTTCTGAAGTTCTCACCAGCAATTGGCCAGACTTTGCTTGGCAGGAGAAGACCCAACTGTCCTGTGAGTTCATCTGTCCTTTCCCCCTACTTCAGGCATTTAGCAGTGCCCTAAGGAAACTTCTTATTCAAGAGGATTAAGAAGAAGCTTCCCATGTGGACAGGTTATCCTGTCACAGCAGGATTTCTTGCACCTTTTCTCTGAAGTAGCTGGTGCTAGCCAGGATTGTCAGAGGAGGATGCTGAACTAAATGGACCCTCTGGCCTGATCCACTCCATATTCCATCCAGTCCTATGTTGCATGGTAGAATTATTAGCTAAATTGGAGAAGATGGGGATCAATATGAAAATTGAAAGGTGGATAAGGAACTGGTTAAAGGGGAGACTACAACGGGTCATACTGAAAGGTGAACTGTCAGGCTGGAAGGAGGTTACTAGTGGAGTTCCTCAGGGATAGGTTTTGGGACCAATCTTAATTAATCTTTTTATTACTGACCTTGGCACAAAAAGTGGGAATGTGCTAATAAGGTTTGCGGATGACACAAAGCTGGGAGGTATTGCTAATACAGAGAAGGACCGGGATATCATACAGGAAGATCTGGATTACCTTGTAAACTGGAGTAATAGTAATAGGATGAAATTTAATAGTGAAAAGTGCAAGGTCATGTATTTAGGGATTAATGACACCAATTTTGGTTATAAATTGGGGACACACCAGTTGGAAGTAACAGAGGAGAAGAAGGACCTCGGAGTATTGGTTGATCACAGGATGACTATGAGCCGCCAATGTGATATGGCCGTTAAAGCTAATGCGGTCTTGGGATGTATCGGGGGAGGTATTTCCAATAAAGATAAGGAGGTGTTAGTACTTTATACAAGGCACTGGTGAGACCTCATCTGGAATATTGTGTGCAGTTCTTGTCTCCCATGTTTAAGAAGGATGAATTCAAACCGGAACAGGTACAGAGAAGGGCTACTAGGATGAGCCGAGGAATGGAAAACCTGTCTTAAGAAAGAGCTTGGCTTGTTTAGCCTAAACAAAAGAAGGCTGAGGGGAGATAGATTGCTCTTTATAAATATATCAGGGAGGGAGAGGAATTATTTAAGCTTAGTACCAATGTGGACACAAGAACAAATGGATATAAACTGGACATTAGGAAGTTTAGACTTGAAATTAGACGAAGGTTTCTAACCATTAGAGGAGTGAAGTTCTGGAACAGCCTTCCCAGGGGAGTAGTGGGGGCAAAAGACATATCTGGCTTCAAGACTAAGCTTGACAAGTTTATGGAGGGGATGGTATGATGGGATAGCCTAATTTTGGCAATTAATTGATCTTTGATTATTAGCAAGTAAATATGCCCAATGGTCTGTGATGAGATGTTAGATGGGGTGGGATCTGAGTTACTACAGAGAATTCTTTCTTGGGTGCTGGCTGGTGAGTCTTGCCCACATGCTCAAGGTTTAACTGATCGCCATATTTGGGGTCGGGAAGGAATTTTCCTCCAGGGCAAATTGGCAGAGGCCCTGGAGGTTTTTCACCTTCCTCTGCAGCGTGGGGCACAGGTCACTTCCTGGAGGATTCTCTGCACCATGAGGTCTTTAAACCACGATTTGAGGACTTCAGTAACTCAGACATAGCTCAGGGGTTTGTTACAGGAGTGGGTGGGTGAGATTCTGTGGCCTGCGTTGTGCAGGAGGTCAGCCTAGATGATCATAATGGTCCCTTCTGACCTTAGTCTATGAGTCTATAAGGTGCACAAACACCCACAGTGCCGCCTAGTGGTCAGGCGGGGGTCGGCAGGCCGTCTTCCCATTGAAAAAGTGGTCCTGCCTTTCAGCGCCCCGCCCCAAGGATTACCCATCCTCTCCTTCAGCACAGGGATTTGGGGAATGGGCCCGTGGGCAGTCAAGGTCTATTCCAGAAGGGCTATCACCTTAGTTCAGTGCTCCCCAACAGTGGGGCACGCCCCCCTAGGGGGGCCTGGAGGACTGTTCTGGGGGACATGGTGGGGTCTGGGCTGGCCCCCAGCTCCACTCTGGCCTACCCCCTGCGGCAGCTCCAGCCCCAACTGCGGCCCCGCTCCTGCCCCTACCACAGCCCCACTCCCAGCCGCGACCCCAGCAGCAGTGCCGGCCCTGCTCCCAACCGGAGCTCTCGGCTCCCGGACCTGCTCCTGGGCCAACCTCCTGACCTGGCTTCTGGGGGAGGCATGGACCAGATAAGGAGGAGTGACAAAAAAGGTTTGGGGACCAGTGCCTTAAGTGAAGGTCCTTGGTGCTGTAATGTCCTCTGGGAGTGGATAGGAGAGCCCGGGCCTGCGCTCTCCCCTGGGCTCTGGATCAGGGCCAAATGGTGGGCAGCTACACTGGACACATTGGGGTGTCAAGCCGCTTCCCCTTCCTACCCCTTTAGCTTCATGGAGTAAGTCACTTCAGCCAAGTCTCTGACCTGCACGCTCAGTCATTTCTCTCTCCTTTTTAGGTTCCCACAGGTTAGTGCAGTCAGTCCTCAGGCAAGGAGCTCCTGGGCAGTATTTTCCCCTCAGAGCACCAGTCTGCTCCCTTCCACTACCTGCCCCCTGTGAGCCGCTCTGCTCTGCTTCTCCTTTTAAACTCTGCCTCCAGTCTGTGCAGGCTTTGCAGGTGTGGCTGGTCACGGCCGCTTGGGCTTACATTAGCTTCATGGAACGTTAGCGCTTTATGCAACAACCCTTCCACCAGCCAACCTAAGAGAGGCACAGCTCTCGTTGCAAGAGAACTGGCCAGGCATAGGGTTGACATTGCCTTGCTCTGTGAACGAAGGTCAATTGGCAGAGATGGGTGCAGGATACACATTCTTCTGGGGAGGTTGCCCAGCCTCAGCCAGGACAACTGGGTGTTGGCTTTGCCATTAGCAACTCCATTGCTTGCAAGCTTAAAAGTCTACCTAAAGGCATAAGTGATCATCGGATGGTTTTGTAGTTGCCATTGAAACGTAAGAGGTATGTTACCATCATCAGCGCTTATGCTCCTACCATTACAAATACTGAAAACGAGAGAAGTTATATGGCAACTTAGACAAACTCATTGTGCCAAACAATGGCCTTTTATCCACTAGATCATTGTCCAGTGGCAAGATCTATAGGATGTACAAACCACTGCAACCATGCGAGGGCGGACTTCTGGAAAGACCATCACATGATCTCTCAAACTGTTATTAGTAATTCAACCAGAGTATCGCAAGTCATCATCTAAACCAATCAGATGGCTCAACATAAAGTGATTACAAGATGAAGTGGAGCTCTGTAATAACATTGCAGCAGCTATGCCTGACCCTGTTGGATTGACTACCAGTGTTAATGTAAACAGTGTGTGGGCAACTTTTCTCTACATGGTATATCAAGTCACTCTTTCTATCTTGAGTACAGCAAAACATCGTCAAGATTGGTTGGATGAGAACGGTGGAACACTGTGGCAGATGAAGTCCAAGGCTACGCCAACCAGCAGGAGACCAAAGATTTCTCTGCTGCTTTTAAAGACGTGTATGGTCCGATGCCTACCATTACAATGCCCTTGAAGAGAGTGGATGGCCTAACACTGATCACTGACAAAGGAGAAATTTTTCAGAGGTGGCAACAGCATTTCAGTGATTTTTTTTTTTTTTTTTAACATACTGTCTAGCATTACAGACAAGGCACTAATAAGAGTAGTAGATCATCCAACGTGTAATGACAACATGGACACAGCCCCATCCCTTGACGAAGTCAGCCCTTCAATCCGTGCCATGTACAACTGCAGGGCTCCCAGATCTGATGGCATTCCTGCAGAAATGTTGGAATATGGTGGTGAGATCCTGCTGAGGAAACTTCATGAATTCTTACTCAATATATGGAGTACTGAAGACATATCATATGACTTCCAAGTTACCACCATTGGTTTGTTAATCCCGGGTTTGAGCGTCCACACTCCTTTGTAACCCTCGGTTAGGAATTGTAGAACCCTGTGTCCCAAACTGGGGCTCCAGTCTCTACACTGAATTATTCAGGCTTGAGTCCAACCACGCATAGCCCAGACTTCCTAGTGCTCTCCCACAATGTGGCTATTCTAGCCCTTTGTTCATGGTGCACTGTGGGAAAACTTGACCATCCACCGAACTTGACTGCTCAGAGGACAAAGAAAGTCAGCCCAAGGGATGCTTCTGGGGACTCCCAGAGCACAAGTCCAGAGGGCTGTGTCTACACTGCAAAGCAATATGCAGGGCCGGTGCAAGGAAGTCTTGCGCCCTAGGCGAAACTTCCATCTTGCGCCACCCCCCCACCCGAAGAGCCCGCCGCCGCAGCAGCTACCCCCCCTCTGCAGCTAACCCCGCCCAGGGAGCCCTCCTCCATGGCAGCTAACCCCGCCCACCCGCTCGGGGAGCCCTCCCCCTCTGCGGCAGCTAATCCCGCCCGGGGAGCCCGCCCCAGCTCACCTCTGCTCCGCCTCCTCCGCTGAGCATGCCGGCTCTGCTCTAATTCTCTTCCCAGGTTTTTGGTGCCGATTGGAGGAGAATTAGAGTGGGGGCTGTGTGCTCAGCGGAGGAGGCAGAGTGGAGGTGATCTGGGGCGGGGAGCAGTTCCCTTGTGCACCCCCTCCGTTACTGCGGGTGGCCCTCCCTGCGCCCCCCCCACCCCAGCTCACCTCCATTCCACCTGCTAGCCTGAGTGGGCGTTTAGACTCCCTCAACCACTAGGCACCCTAGGCGGCTGCCTAGTTCGCCTAGTGGTTCCACCGGCCCTGGCAATATGGCCTGAAACCTGGGTCCCATCTTGACTTAGGCTCTGGCCCGCCACCCCCATGGGGTGCTCATATCCTGAGTCTGAGCTCTGAACATGATTTGTGTATAGATGGAAGGAGGGTTAGGATTGAGTCTGAGTTCGAACCCTGGGCTTACATGGCAGTGTAGACACACACTAAAACAACATTAATTAACCCTCATACCCATGGTGAGGCTTAAGCATACATTCCTGGGTTTGGGAGGTGTTTGGAACAGGGGTTTTGGTTTTGGCACACTATAAAAATAAGGTCCATTGGTGCATGGTGGACCCTGATCAAGTTTCAGATCTGCAGTTTGTCTGTTTCACTGATGGGTAAACTGAGGCACTCAGACACTGGATTCATCTATATTAAGGCCAGAAGGGGTGTCAGATCATTTGCTCTGATCTCTGTATAACACAGGCCATAGCATTTTACCCAGGGATCCCTGCAGTGGAGGGAACCGTCCTTCCCAGCTATGTACATAGACACTAGTGAGGATGATAGATTTGCAGTTGAACAGGCGTGACCTTCATAAGATTGCTTACACAGTAAAAAAAATATCTCTGACCTTGCCCTCTAGTACCCCATATGCTCTGATGGGTTATTGCAGCAAATCGGTCACATTCCTCAATGAGTGTGTTTTACCAGATCAGATACTTCTCTGACCTCTTGCATTAAAGCCCCAGGGAGGTATACTGAAATTCTACAAACATACAGAGCCACATTTGGTGTACACACCATTTGCACCAGGGCTGAATTGGGCCTATAGTGCAAAGAGCAATGAAATATTTAGCAGTTCCTTTCATCCTGTTCTTGTTTCAATATAAACGGTGAGGTTATCAGCATGAATATTTCTATAGCCTCGCAAGGGCCAAAAACTGAGCTGAAGATCTGACTCAAAATGTGCTGCATTTACAGCTCTTTACCCCCATAAAGGCCAGAAATGTACTTCTAATTGGAAGATGACCTGTTTTTCAAAGCATACAGAAAAATTCACATTAAACCCAGAGCCTTGGAGTGACCAGGAAAACTGATCTGCCAGTTACTGAACATAGCAGCTTTCCACCTAGTTGGCTTTTTTGTTTGTTATGTAACTAGTGATAGTTTAGGTAGAACCTAAGCCAAATAGAGATAATTTGTATTAAAGTCCAAGGGTGATTTAAATGGTCTTTTCAAGAAGCAGAAGGAATGACTCAGACTGCAGCCAGTCTGTTCCAGAAAGTTTTATTGGGAGCTTAATATTTGCTAGGTATCTCCACTATGTTACTCATTTTGTATCTGCCAACTAATTGGTAGCTTATGCTGTATGTTCTAGTTAAATAATACAATACACTTGAGTTTAAACGATTAAAAAATCACAGCCCTTTAACATAACCACAGATGCACTGGCATGTGACTGTTCCTCGGTAGTCACGTTTCTTGGATGAATTAAGGCACTTTACAGAGTCCCAAAGAATCCAACCCGTTCCTTCGCACTTTAGTGTCGGTGGACAATTGTGTGTGTGAGACCGTAATGATTTACAATGAGTGTAGTTGGAAGGTAGGTGTAACTTGATGGCTAAATGTAGTGTATATTCCGTGGATGATAGAGCCATCTCTCCTTGCTTTTAGTGCTCTTTTGTAAGAGGCACCCTTTGTCACAGCTCCAACTGAGCCCCTCCTCTTGGTTACTCACCAGACTCCTGTGAGGGGATCCAGCCGTGGAATCCACTGGATCTCCTAAGCCTCCAGAGTCTGAACAGAGTCCAGGCACTGTCCTTATCTCAGGGTCTGGAGTCCTTCTTGTGTCAGTGCCTGCCTTGTTTTCTGAAACATGGCGCTTTCTCCACCCAGCTCTTCGATTCTGCCCTTGGCCACTCCATCCCCTCTCCCTCTCCCTCTCCTGCCCATAACTTCTCTGTGGCTCTGTCATCCCCCTGTGAGTCCTTTTCTAACCTTTTAGGTCCTTGGTCAAGTGACTCCTGGAACAGACTTAACAAATGATAGACCTCTACTAGACAACTTCATTGTTCTGTTCTGACAAACCAGTTTTCCTGGTTGAGATCTAGACTATTGTTTAATATGTTTGTATTTGACTAGAGAACCATCCCAAGTTAATGACCCTCTATTGTCAGCCCTGTCAGAATTTCAGTTCCACCTGGAGGTAAAGAGGGAACAGAGAAGACAGCACTCAAAGCCCCCACATTCAAAATGGAGTTTGCTGCTTGCTAAAGATATGCCCAGAGCGTCCATAATCTCACACTGAATCCACAAATCATACAGATTTCCCAGTCATACCCTGACAATCAGCAGAGTCCCTTGTTGGGTTGGCAGTGTTGTCTAGTGGCTAGGACACTACATTGGGAGACTTGGGTTCTACTCCCAGTTCTGCTATTGACTGACACTGCATGACCTTGGGCAAGTCATTTCCCCTCTGTTTCTCACCCCATCCTTTGTCCGTCTTGTCTATTTAGAGTCATCGGGACAGGGACTGTCTCTCACCATGTGTTTCTATGGTTCCTGGCACAATGGGGCTCCAATCTCTGTTTGGTTCTCCAGGCATTAGAGGAATGAGGACATTGCACAAGGCCACAGCAAGAGACACAATCGGCCATGGGATGAGAGGCGGGGATCTGAGAGCGTGAATCCGCATACATTTATATTTAGAAGCCTAATGTGCTAATAAGATGGAATGAAGAGATTTTTTTAATGCTCACTATTTAATTTAATTTATTCATCATTGACACAGCTGTGAAATCTCAAGATAATTTAGATACAAACAAGTTGATAAAAGGGGTTACACTTGAATTTAATCCTTACAAACATTGATTAAATTGCTTGCTGGGTTTTTGGGATGCCTGATCTGCCACACACAATTTTGCTCTACGGTGTACAGTCGAAAGTTGCGCCGCTTTGACTATGCCACTACAGGTAAAGTGGGACAACGTCCCTCCCTTGTGTGGATGCAGCTATATGGGTATAAATGTGCTCTGTACCAGTATAGCTATTTCTGTATGGGACGGGAAGAACTATATGGTATAAGGCACCTTAATAATGTTGTCAATGCATCCACATTAGGGCTTTTACTGGTATAACACCAGCAGTGAAAATCACACCCCTCCCTGACATGGTTATTCCTGTAGAACTGTTCAGTGTAGACCAGGATTTGCACTCTCCTTCATTGAGTTAGCTGAAGGGCTGGATCAGGCCGTCCCATGGCAACAGATCAGCCGTTGCAGTGCCCTGAAGCGAAAGCTGGGGAAGATTAAAGAGAGGCAACTTTTGTGCAACGAACCTGCCATTGATTTACGTCCTATCTAGAATCATGTGAAGTGTCCAGTGCCCAAACAGCCCACCTAGGTCCCGATCCCTGATTGGGGCTTCTAGGCACTCATTTAAATAAACAATACTGATCATTACCGCTATGTAGGGCTTCTTCCTATTAAGCGTAGCATTGCCCTGGGGCGCAGTGTGGAGGCACACTACTCCAGCAGGAATTGCAGAGCACTCCTGTCCCTTGGTGGACTTACTGCAGTACCTTGTACTGGTGTACCCCAGAAAGCTCCCTACCTACTCGTCTCACTCCCTCAGAGGAAGTGGTCCCTGCACCGGGGCTGGAAATCTGGCAGGCCCGTGTGCAGAGCATACAAAGGAAGAGCAAGTCTCCTTACACTCTCCCATCCCTCCTTCACCCCTTGTGTCAGAATCTAGCCCCACTGCAAATTTTTCAGAGCTCGGACGCTGTCCTCTCTCTCTTCTGTACAACGCTGAGCCCTTGCTAAACTATTATGATGATCAATAAAAATACACAGCTGCATCTCCATGGACCTTCCCCCCCAGCCGCCCCCCCCCCCCGCAATAATTTTTTAGTTAATCACAAAGAAGAGTTAGCAGGGATACATCTGCAGAGATAAAACACAGCCTTTGTTTTGACTAGAACCGACTGGGAAAGTTTCGACAGAAATTGATGCTTTGGACAGATTTTTGGTTTGAAAAAAAATCTATCAATATTTTTTGACACCGGTACAGGTTTAGATTTTTTTATTTCAGACCAACTTTTCATTTTGCCTTTTATTTAAAAGTTAAAATCAGAGCAAAAAACTTTTGATAATCTCGAAGAATTTTTAAAATTTCACCAAGATGATTTTTTTTAAATTTATTTTGTGGGAAATTTTGAAACTCTGTTTTTTCAATTGCAATTCTGAATGAAAACATTTTGAAATCACAGAATTTCCCATGAAAGGGAAATTTCAGTTCCCACCCAGCTCTTGTTATTCAATCATATTTAGATTAAACTCTGTCATGTATCACACTCCTGTCCCAGTGATTTAAGTGTCACTGGAGTTTCTTCAGGTGCAGGTGAATCCCGTTCTTGGAGCGCAGGATGGCCTGAGGTATTTTGATGGGGGGCTTGGCTGGATCAGGGGAGAATTCAAAGCGCAGCAGAGTCAGCGCAAGAGCCACCTTCATCTCGTTCATGGCAAACTGCTGCCCGATGCAGTTCCTGAGCAGACAGAAGCGACAAATATTTCATCTCTAAAGTTACCAAAGCCACTTCATATAGTAAACAGAGCACAAGAGGCGGCCACTGAAATAGTTAACGGGATTCACTTCTATTGAGTGGTTAGTAGAAAGGGCTGGAAAATGGAAATTCCTTCCCACAACAAAATTTTGCATTTCTGTCCTTTTTTTCATCTCAAATAAGCCTGGAGATGCGACAGCCTGGGGAGCCGACCAGCCCCCAGTTCCCTGAGTAGCCTGTGGTGCACAGAAGCGGCTAGCACCTGCTCTTTCTTCACCAAGTAGAAAAGCGATGGCAGCAGAGCTGTAAACGTAATTGTCATCTGATGTTAAACATCTTCCCCCGCTAATGCCTGCAGCCAGAGAACATACCTATTTTACTTAATTATGTTGGGCATGAAAAATACCAAGTGCTGCACTTTGCTCTCTCCAGTCACTCTATAAATGTGTTAGTCTCTAAGGTGCCACAAGGACTCCTCGTTGTTTTTTTTAGTATAAAGACAAGGTCTGAAGCCAGTTTAAAGTGGCAAAGAGCCATCAACTTTTCTATGTGGATTGAGATTGGCTAAGCATCAGCTTTCTACCTGTATTTGTTTCGGATAAACTGAGCAGTGAAGCTGGTTGGGATTTTCCCACTGGATTGATTTTCCAACAGAAAATGCAGTCTTAGCAAAAATGAAATTTTCCTCAAGAACATTTCCAATTTTTGTTGGAAAATTTTGAGGAAAATCTAAATGAAAACTCCCGTAAGCCAGGCAGGCAGCGTGGGGAGACTGGGGAGCATTCATTTAGAGGTTCCAAAGGAAAATTTCAGTTTTGAAGAAATTGCCTCTTCTGTCCGAAAATTATTCCAATGGAAAATTCCTCACCAGCCCTACTGGATAGTTCATCAGAAACAAACATAGGCAGAGGGCTGGTGTGAATCAGCATAGATTCAGTGAAGTTGATGAAACGATGCCGTCTACACTGGCTGAGAATCTGGTCCCTGTGGTGGAACAGGAGAGACCAATGAGCAGCACCTAATGGTGTTTCTCTTGGCTGATTTGTAATTAAACAAAAGGTTTGTTCTTTTGTTGCAGGCATTAGTCAGGGAAGAAGGATCCTAGACACGGGTGACAATTACATGTACAGTTGTGCTGTGAATACAGCAGGAAAGCTGCCACCTCCTCTCTCCATAGTGAAGAATATATACAGGGTAGTTCTTCACAAGTCAGGAGTTTGGCCAGGACTAGAGTCAGGTAACGCCAGAATCTTAAGTCCTCTAGTAAATTTCAGCTCCCCCTGGGGGAGGGGGAAGCCTCTGATTGGCTGCCTTCCCCACTGCCCCACTTCTTGGGGAAGAGCAGCCAATCAGAGCAGCTGCAGGAAGAAGGCAGAGCTCTCCTCTTAGTAGCTGACATTGCTTTCACAGGATGAGCAGAAAAAGCCCTGAGCTGCTCCCCCCTCTCCTGCCTGCGAACAACAGGGATGGCTCCTCCCAGCCTCTCTCCCTGCCTGCAATGCCCAGCCCTGAAAGGGGAGAAGGGACCTTGCTGCAGTCCTTCCAAGCCTGGGAGAGGAGGTTGAGAAACTGAAGCTGCAGGAGGAGCAGAAGGGAGGCTGGGAACGGACAGAATTGATGTGGAGGCAAGATTTAAGGAGGCATGGAATGGGGGGCAGAATTGATTGCTTGGCAGGGGGATGGATAGAGTTCTAGGTAGGAACAACTGCAGCAGAGACCAATATCACCTTAATAAACCTGGAGGCGTTGGCCACACTAATTGTCACACAAACACTGGGGTGAGCACAGGGAGTTCACACATCAAAAAACACAATACAATCTGGAAAAAACCTCATGATTTTTGAGCCCATCTCATGGTGGTTTGGGTCTGATTCATGATTTTTTAATCTCTAGGGTTGGAAATACTGCTGGTATTTCTAACAGTATCCCTTATGCTGATGCATTTCACGAATGGAGTATGAGCTGATGCTGTGATGGGCCCCACTGAAATGCAGGAAATGGTAGTGCTGTGCTTAGAAACTGGATGTTGATTTGAGAGCCAGCAGGATGGTGGGTTTCCTCTTGCTGGATTTTCTCCATTTGGACGGGATGACATGGTTGCACTAACCCCTTTGTTTCATAGATTCGAAGGCAAGAAGGGACTATTGCAATCATCTAGTCTGACCCCTTATCTAACACAAGTCAGAGAACTTCCTCAAAACAATTCCTAGAGCAGAACTTTTAGAAAAACATCTAATCTTGACTGAAACACTGTTAGTGATGGAGAATCCACCAGGATCCTTGGTTAATTGTTCCAATGGCCACTTACTCTCACCATTAAAAATGTACACCATATTTCCAGTCTGGATTTGTCTAGTTTCAACTTCTGGCCATTGGAGCGTGTTATAATTTTCTTTGCTAGATTAAAGAGCATGATAGGTATTTAAATACTGTGATCAAATCACCCTTTAATTTTCTCTTTATTAAGCTAAATACATTGAGTTCCTTTAGTCTATCACTATAAGGCAGGTTTTCTAATCCTTTAATCATTCTTGTAGCTCTTCTCTGAACTCTCTCCAATTTAAAAAAAAAAAAAAAAAACAAACTTCCTTCTTCAATGGTGGGCACCAGAACTGGACACAGTATTCCAGTGCCACAGAGAGCGGTCAAATAACATCTCTACACCTACTCAAGATGCCCTGGTTTATGCATCCCTTTTATGGCCCCAGCATCACACTGGGAGCTCATGTTCAGCTGATTATCTACCCGGCCCCTAAATCTTTTTCAGAGTCACAGCTTCCCTGCATGGAGTCCACCACTCTGTAAGTATGGCCTACATTCTCTGTTCCCAGATGCAGACATTTACATTTAGCCCTATTAAAACTATATTATTTTTATTTGCTTGCACCCAGATTAGTAAGCCACCTAGATCAGTCTGAATCAAGTAGGAGCATTATCTTGCAATATTTTCTTACCTGTTTGGTCCTTAGTAGTAATATCTGAGCAACTTGCATTCATTAATGGAATTTATCCACACAATATGTGTATTTTACAGACCGGGACCAGAGGAGACTGGCTTGCCCAAGGTCCCAGAGCACATCAGTGGGTAAGCCGGGCATAGATCCCAAGTCTCCAGACTTACAGCCCAGTGCCCCTGTCCACTAGACCACCCCATGTCCTAATAAGTAATATTACTGTGCAATAGAGCCTACAATGTGCTAGACACCTGGCAAGATAGACAACAAAGGACAGTCCCTTCCCCAAAAGAGTTGTCAAACAAAGAAGCAGACAGAGGCCAGGGCAGGAAAATAACAAAATAATTTTCTATACCAATCAACACGGTTCCCTACAGGCAGCACAGCAAAAAATGGGACGTAACAGTGGAGAGACGCAGGGGCCTTGCCAATGAGTTCATGGTCAAACCAGGTATAGGGGACCACATTGAAGATGCTATGGAGGTATTGTTCTGACATGCTGTGGATTTAAACAGACATAAGCCTGCGCTGGCTCCAGGTCCAAGAGTTTCCAGAGTTAGGGGATGTTTGGATTTGGAGTTTTGTCAGATTGTCACCCCAAGGTGGGAGTGATTCATCAGTGTCCAGGGAAGAGGATTTTATTTAACTAAACCGACGTATAGAATTAAATATACTCCACCTGGGTCCAGCTGCAAAAGGCAGAAAAGCATAGGAATGGCGTTCCGCTGAGTTCTCTGGTGAGAATCTCAAAGGGTCGAAGACCTGCAAAGAATAGTAAAGGCACGTAGTTCTGAAACTATTGCTTACTTTGGCAACCGAGCTTAGCTAGTAAGGGCCAGATTCCACTCTCAGTTACCCTTGCACAAGCCCACAAAAGGCAAGTAAACGGCCTTATCTTAATGCCATAGGGCAATGTGTACCAATGGTTTGGGAAGGGAAAAGGGACCCAATTTCCATCACAGTCTCTCTCCATTGCTAACACCTTGTATTAGTATCTGGCTCCCAGCTTACAGCAGAGAAATGGGCCCATGCAGAAGATCCTTGAGACATCTACAAACTTCCCAAAATGAAGATGGGTGGGTGTGGCCCAAACAAATATGGGAGGAGTGAGGGCAATGACAGGTATTGCGTCAGCTTTAGGATTTGGCCCAATTCATGGGTGAACTTGGTTCTCTCTCCACCCTTAATTAAAAATTCACATAGAAACAAAATGTAGTTTTGTCTGGACCTTCCATTATCCAAAGGTCTTCACAGAGCCCCTACAATCTACAGTTAAGTGGAGTCCTCATACAGCATGAACATTGTGTTATCTACATACGTCTAGTGAAAAATGGTCATCTACCCAAGAAAAGGGCCTGCTTGCTGCTTCCTGTGCACATAGGAACTTCTCGTTGATTCGACAAGTGAGTCTGCACAAGGAATAAGATCAGGAGTACTTGTGGCACCTTAGAGACTAACAAATTTATTACAGCATAAGCTTTCGTGGGCTACACCCCACTTCTTCGGATGCTCTAATAAATTTGTTAGTCTCTAAGGTGCCACAAGTACTCCTGTTCTTTTTGCAGATACAGACTAACACGGCTGCTACTCTGAAACCTGCACAAGGAATAGCTATCCCATATTCAAAAATATCTTATCAGTCTCAAGTAAAAAAAGAAGTACCTCTGGATCAAGCCAGACTGTCGGGTTTCTGTGAAGACCATAAATATTCAGTGAAACCAGGGAGCCTGTTAAGAATGAGAGAAATAAATCATCATAAGACAGGAAAAATGTGTCATAGACTATGGTGTTCTGTCCATCTACACTTGTGGAATCCTGTAAAACTAGATTAGTAACAAATCTCCTTTTGAAGTCCTGTTTTCATCTGCCACCCATGAGTTTATTGAGTATCAGAGTTCCATCAGGGGACCACCTCATCCTTTACTGACTAATAAAACAAAAATTGGCCAAAAATGTCCAAGAATTTCTACAGAATGTGAAAAAAGTCACTTCAGGTAAGCGTCAGGAGAAGGGTAAATGTTGAGGTGGGGTGGGGGGGAAGTTCCAAAAGATGTTAGAGATGAAAGAGTCCTGGTGGATGTGCTCCATGTCCTTATCAATGCAAGGTTTTTCCTTGTGGTTTGTTCTCCTGCTCTTTGTCTTATCTGCTTTTAAATGAGTCCAGTGTTGGGGCCTCCACCTTCTACCTTTGAAGATTGTGGAACAACTTATACACCACACCACTAGGAATTTACTCTTGGTATTTATTTGTATAGCTGCCGTGTTGAGGAGCCCCAACCATGGCACAGGATCCCATTGTGCTAGGTGCTGTACAAACATAAAACAAAAAGACAGTTCCTGCCCCAATGAACTTACAATCTAAGTATAGGACAAGAGACAACAGATGCAATCAGACCTACTGATGGGGGAGTTCACAGAAGTAACATTCATCAGCATGACAGGCAGCTGTCTCAGCACATCAGCAGCCTAGTTGTGAATTTTTTGTAGGGTTTATGGCAAAGGGAGAGTTTTAATGATGGTTCCTCCTAAGTGTGAGGGGCAGGATGGGAGAAAGCATGAAGATGCTTGTTGGAAAATTTAACAAGTGGGCAATGGAGGGTGATATCATGGACCAGCTGGAGGTGGGAGTTGACCTTTTGATACTGAACGAGGGATGATAGCTAGGGGTGAGGAATGCGATGTGTCATGAAGGGCCTACCAAGTGAAGACAAGTAGCTTATATTTGATATAATAGAGACAAGGGAGCTTGTGGAGGGACGCAAAGAGGGATGACAAGGTCAAAGTGACCTTGGTCAAAGGTTGGGAAAATAACCTTTGCAGCAGCATTTTGAAGGCATATCAGTGTGGCAAAGTTGCATTGTTCAAGGCCAGAGAAAAGGATGTTGTCATGACATGCGAGATAATGAGAGCATGGGCTACAGTTTTAGCTGTGTGGCTGGGTAGGAAAGTCCAGATTTTAGAGCCATTATGCAGAAACAATCTGCAAGACTTAGACATAGACCTCACTCTAGGTTCTCACATCCAGGCTGAGTCAAAGATGAAGCCCAAGTTACAGGCCTCAGTGATGGGTAACAGGGTGGTCAAGAAAGGAGGTAGCAAAGATGGTTTTGGAGGGAAGAGTAAGAGCTCTGTTTTGTCTATGTTGAGCTTGAGCTGATGGCTAGACATCCTCAAGGAGATGTCAGAGACAGGCTGAGATTTTTGTTAATAATAGTCCCTGTGTCTCCCTAAACAATTCCCCTTCCTCCTTTCATTTTCTGTCTATAAAATGCTTTTGGAATGAGAGGCAATATACAAGTGAGAGACATGAGCATCACTGCCATTGATGTACAGACACAAAGCAGCCTAATTAGCATTTAAAGAGGAGATAGACTAAGCAGACCTTTTGGTAAGGTACGTCCATCAACAAATGTTACAGGTGCACTGAGTTCTCGTGCTATGGCAGGTACCGGAGGGTAAAGACGAAGAGTCTCTTTGATGCACATGGTGGTGTAGGTCATCTTCCCAAAGTCATCCCTGAAAGGAACCAGAAGCAGAGATTGGGGACAACTGACAATGGTCAAAAAGATATTGTTCGTATTTTCTACAGAGATGCACCCGCAGGCAGAGCTGTGACCTGGAAAATAGAAAACTGAAAGGTGAACGTTATAACCAGTAAGTCAAGCAGATTGCAAGCAGATGGGAGTTCTCAGTGTGACAGCCAAGGAGGAGGGAGAGTGGTGGGGAGGCTCTGCTCATCAAGCCAAGTAGAGGAATGAGAGTTCTCCCTCTGGTTTTATAAGTGAAGGGGGAGCTGTACTCTGCCCGGCTCCCTTAGTTTAAAAGGAGCTGAAAGGGGAAGGGTGATTAGAATGGACACACTTAGGCAACCTTCTCTACCTCTCCACCTATACTATATAGAGTTATTAGGCCTTAAGGCAAGAAGGGACCATTAGATCATCTAGTCTGTCTTCCTATATATTATAGATCATTAAATTTCACCCAGATCCCTCTGAACTGAGCCCAGTTGTGCCCAATAGCTTATGTTTAACTAAAGCATATCTTCCAAAAACACATCCCATCTTGATACGAAGACAGAAAGAGATAGAGACTCCACCACTTCCTCTCATTCTTTGTTCCAATGGTCAATCACCCTCACTTTTAAAAATGTGTCCATTTTCTAATTGCAGTATGTCTGGCTTCAACTTCTAGTCACTGGCTCTTGTTATGTCTTTCCCCACTAGATTAAAGAGCTCTTTAGTACCTGGTATTTTCTCCCCATGAGAGACACTGTAATCAGATCATCTTTCAATCTTCTTTTTGATAAACTAAACAGATGGGTGGGGGGGAATCGAACTAAGTTACGCAACTTCAGCTATGTGAATAACATAGCTGAAGTCAATATACTTAGATTGACTTACCGTGGTGAGTAGACTGCTGCCGCTCCCCCGTCGACTCTGCCTGAGCCTCTCGCCGAGCTGGAGTACAGGAGTCGACAGGAGAGTGCTCGGGGGTCAATTTATCGCGTCTAGACTAGACGTGATAAATCGACCCCCGCTGGATCGATTGCTGCCCGCCGATCCGGTAGGTAGTGTAAACATACCCTAAATCTCTCATTGTAAGGCATTTTCTCCAGCCCTTGAAGCATTTCGGTGTCTCTTTTTAGCACCCTTTCCAACAACATTTTTAAAACAAGGACACCGGAACTTAGGGTTACCATATTTCAGCACGGAAAAAAGAGGACGGGAGGAGCCCCGCCCCCGTCCTGCCCTAGCCCCGCCCCCATCCTGCCCTAGCCCCGCCCCTTCCACTCCCCGCCCCTTCCACTCCCCGCCCCCCTCAGAACCCCAACCCTCCCCCTGCTCCTTGTTCCCTGACTGCCCCCTCCTGGGACCCCTGCCCCTAACTGCCCCCCAGGACTCCACCCCCTACCTAAGCCTCCCTGCTCCTTGTTCCCTGATTGCCCCCTCCTGAGACCCTCCCCCCATCCTAATTTGCCCCCTAGGACTCTACCCCCTACCTATCCCCTGACTGCCCCAACCCTTATCCACACCCCCACCCCCAGACAACCACCCCCCGCCCCCTCCCCCATCTCTTGACTGCTCCCTCCAGAACCTCCCTGCCCCTTCTCCGACCCCCTGGCCCCCCCTTACTCTGCCGCTCAGACCAGCGTGCCGGGGAGAAGGAGCGGGGGAGGAGCTCCAGACTGCCGGTGCGAACGGCCGGCTGGTGATCTGCAAATGCAGGGAGGGAGCGATCTCTGCTGCAGGGGGAAGGAGGGGCTGTCTCTGGCTGTCGGAGCCCAGGGGGAAGTCCGGACATTTAGAAATTCCCCCCGGACGCTATTTTTAGCTCTAAAATCCGGACATGTCCGGGGGAATCCGGACGAATGGTAACCCTACCGGAACTGGATGCAGTATTCCAGAATCTGTCTCACCAATGGTCTATGCAGAGATAGGACAGATGTTGCATGCCAAGCTGCAAACGCCATTCTGTTTTGTGAACGCTATTTTGACTATAAACTGCCATGTGCCCTCTGGGTTGTCCTGTGGCCTGCATCTTGAGCTGGGCCACCCAGGGAGGTGTTGGGAGAAATCCTGACATCCAGCATAGGAGCTAAAAATGGGAAATCATCAAGAATCATCAACCTTGATGGTCCTCCATTCAAGCGGGTTCACCCCAGAACAAAAGGCTGCCTGAAGTCCAGGAGAACTAGCTTTCCCAGTTGGGAACTGGGGGGTAGGGGGAGAGACAACTGGGGTTAATAAACTGATTTCCTGATAGGGGTTTCAAAGTTATTTGGAAGGTCACTTGAAAGGAAAATAAGTTCTCACCATTGAACAGTCTCTCTGTCTCCCAGAATCTCTGTGATCTCTTCCCTGCATCTCTGCTGGTGCTCTGGGTGCAGGGCCATGCAGTACAAGAGCCAGGAGATCCCACTGGCCGTGGTATCGTGACCTTCAAACATAAACGTGCTCACCTCGGCACGTAGGTCTTCATCAGATAATCCAGCTCCATTTTCATCCTAACAACACATGGCTTCTTTCAGGGTTTCATGGGCATTCCCAGGAAAGAGACATGAGGTTTCCTGCTGCTCAGAGCGTAAGTGACAAACGTGTTAGAAAGGAAACCCTGGAGCATTGATCCCAGTGGGTCAGACCTTCCCTTTAGGTTGGGGAGAAACGTAAGGAACCCCGCATGTGCAATGAACACCTGTGATGCAGACAGGTACAACTGCAGTCCTTGCTGTCCCTTGAATGCAGGTACTGCTTCCTGCTTGCTCCCTCTGGAGGACAAGAAACCTCGTGGAGGGATGGTGAGTGGTAAGGAGGAAGCTGGGACATACTTGTCCCCTCCCCCTTCACTAGCCCATGGAAAGGGCGTGATGCACCAAGGGAAACACATTGCATCCCTTAGACGGGATACAGCAGTGGACTTACTAGTACCCCCATGCACAGTGCAGCAGCGGGTGGAAATTTCTCTCTCCTCCTAGAGCTTCCCCAGCCTAACACAAAGCTGAGCTTCAATCAGGGGTGGGCAAACTGTCCTGCCCGGCCCCTGAGCTCCTGGCCCCCGGCCCCTCCTCTGCTGTTGCCCCTCCCCCGCAGCCTCAGCTCACTCGCTCTGCCTCCAGTGCAATGCTCTGGGAGATGGAGCTGTGAGCTCCTGGGGCAGCGCAGCTGCAGAGCCCGGCCTGACCCAGTGCTCTGATCTGCGTTGTGGCCCAGATCCAGAACCCCCAGCCACCTGTGCTCCAGGCAGCACGGTAAGGGGGCAGGGAGCAGGGGGGTTGGATAGAGGGCAGGGGAGTTCGGGGTGGTGGTCAGGGGGCGGGGGTGTGGATGGTGGTCGGGGGGAAGCAGGGGGTTGAATGGGGCCAGAGGTCCCAGGGGGCAATCAGGAAGGAGGGGAGGCAGTCAGGGGCGGGGGGTCCGTGGGCAGTCAGGGGACAGGGAGAAGGGGTGGTTGGATGGGGCAGGGATCCCGGGAGGGCCATCAGGAATGAGGGGAGTGGTTGGATGGGGCGGCGGGGATCTGGAGGCAGTCAGGGGACAGGGAGCGGGGGTGTGTGGATGAGGAAAGGGTCCCAGAGGGGCCGTCAGGGAACGGGGGGGTTGAATGGGAAAGGGATCCGGGGGGGGGGGCAGATAGGAGGTGGGGGCCAGGCCACGACCCCCTCCCATAACCGGCCCTCCAAAAATTTATGAAACCCGATGCGGCCCACAGGCCAAAAAGTTTGCCCACTCCGGCTTAAATGGTATGCACAGTCCTGCATAATTACATTGCCATCCAATCTGCTGAGTTAAAATGATCATTTCTATAAAACGATCAGTCTTTCGATCTATAGGAGTCTGCTTATGTCTTGCCAGTGACTTTACTTTATATAAATGGGACTAAGTGTGGTTTATAACCCAGACTGGACATGAACAAAGCTACAGCGTTTGTGTGGCTTTAACGATTCACACAGGACTCTGTATATTGCCAAGCTCTGCAGCCACAGAGTTGGGACAGAATCCATCCCTTGTGTCAAAACTATGCTTCTGAACATTGATGAATCCGGCCAATCAATTTTAACCTTTTCCCTGAACGAAAAATATATTTTTCGGACGCTGCTTTCCACAATGCCCAGGCCCCTCTCAGCGCTGATACTCAAAATGCTTGCGTACTTGGCTCCGATCAGTTCTTGCAACACTCACTTTAGCACTCAGAAAGATGTCCAGAAAGTCCAGGTGGCGCCTCCTCTGGATCTTTTCAAGCTCTCGCTCATCTTTAAGGAACTCCTTTCTTTCTCTGATCACTTTATCTGCATCAGGGAAACATTAAAGTAATTATGTCCCATTTGGAGCCATATGTGCACTGTGATTCTCCAGAACCCCAATGGATCCCAAAATACCAGGGAACCAGAATTCTTTGATTCTCATAATTTCTGAAATGAGATGGATCACTCTGCGTGGCTTCTGGGGGATGTAAAGAATCAGGGCCACAGCAGAGCTGCCTGAACTACCTACAACGATGGTTGCTTCTCCCGTTGGTGTAGGTACTCCACCTCCCTGAAAGGCGGTAGCTATATCGATGGGAGAAGACCTCCCGTTGACTTAGGGCTGTCTACACCACAAGTTAGGTCAGTGTAACTACCTAGCTCAGGGGTGTGATTTTCCACATCGCTGAGTGACGTAGTTATACCAACATAAGTCTGTAGTGTAGACTAGGGCTTATCTTGGAGCCTGGCACAAATCCTTAATGAGAGGTGAGAAGAGGATAGTGGGAAATACCCGTATGGTGATGTGCTAATCTGCAGGCCTTGTGGAATCGACGCCCTTCAGAACTGAGCCAGTAAACGAGATGGTTGTGATGCAGGGGCGTCTGGATTCTCAGATACACCATCAAGCTGAGGTCCCTGACCGTTTGGATATATAAGTTGTCACTACAGAGAGAGAGTCAAGGGAGAGATGGATAAAGACTGGGCAGCGAGTTTGAGCGTATTGGGGGAGAGATTGCAAAGATTTCAGAATGGTTGATTTTAATGGTAAGTGTGTGGTTAGGGCAAGACCAAGCTCAGCCAGCATGAGAGCAATGTGAACAGGCGGTAATGCAGTAGACTGCCTCAGACAATGGACTTTTCCTTCCAAAGGATTCAGGCCGGCCTGCACAAGGCTAAGCAGTGTTCCCGGGGAATAACTTGAGTGTTTGTAGTTGAATGCCTTGAGCTTGCAGCACTTCTGACTGGCTTTGCACCCTCAATGTAAACGTCTGATAAGCCATGTGCCCAGTCCTATGAGGTGCCAAGTGCCCTCAGCTTTCCTTTTTTGGAATAGGAGTGGCAGGCGCTCCGTGCCTTCCCAGTTCAGGCTTTTGGGTTGTGAGATTGCGGAACCAAACGTCAATAGTCACGTGAAAATGTAGGGTTGATCTTGATCCCATTGAATTCCATAGCAACCCCCCCACCACCTACTAACTTCAACAGAGCAAAATCAGACCAGGGTGCTGGAACAATTTGCATAGTGGGGGTGCTGAGAGCCATTGAACCAAACTGTAAACCCTGCATATAATGGAAACCACTTCAAGCCAGCGGGTACAGGAGCACCTCCAGCACCCCCAGGTTCCAGCACCTCTGGATCAGACTCATTATGATTTTACCTACTCTTAGATCTGAATAGCTCTATAATACGATTGACTGTATAGGAAACAGATTTCTTGGTTTGTCTTAAAACAATGCCCTTTGTCTCAGTTAAACAACAACAATCTCACTTTTGTTACCATCCCCACCAAACAACACCTCATTCTCATAAAGATCAGCTAGTGGCATCAATACTTGAGTAGCTTCTGCATTTAAAAGACACCAGCACATCTAGATCCTGAGGCAGGCTGTAAGAGGTGGTGAAGTGGGTCCCAGCAACCCTGATCCCAATTTCCCCCTGTGTTAGTGACATGAAGATCAAGAGGCTAATGCATCCACTACTTCTATCACATCTGTGTAGTTCCCAGTTCGGACACAATGGCACCGCACTGAATTTAAAGTCACTTAAGGCCAACAAGAACTTTTCATCAGGATTTGACATCACCCGGTACTGACCTGTCAGTCTGGCAGTTGCTCTGGTAACTGAAAGCGGATTTCATGATGCTGTCGAGAGTCATCAAGCTGACATGTTCAAAGAGCTCCACTGACTTCTCCTGTGTGATCAGCTGTTCCCATTTATCCTATTGGAAAAGAGTAATGAGAAGGGAGAACTTTTCTTGGGAGTACAGAATCCTGGTTACAGCCATTCACTTGGGTCTGGGCCACCTCCTGCATCTGGGGATGTTGGGCCTGTGGGCAGGTGGCTGTGATCTTTAACGGTCCAGCCAGTTTCACTGACAGTCTTGAGATTAAACCCTGGGTTGCATGGGAAGCTGAGAGATGGCAGGAGTGCCTTTAACAGGGCTCAATGTCTGCCAAGTCATCACAGGTCACTCTGTGGAGATGTGCAGTGGGTTAGCATGGGCTCTCTTCTGCTCACTGTCTGACACTGCTGCAGCGCTGGGAGCCGACCCAGCATGCACCGGGAAGAACACTCTAAATGTTTTTAAATCATTCTAATCTACTAGCTAAAGGCTCTTAAATCAGGAAGCAGCACTTGGAGGTTTGAACTCATGACAGTGCCAACGCCCGTTCCTACCAGCATCACGTGGACAGAATCTGCCATCATGGTCACGTAAGATTTCAAAATATCATAGTGAAACCCTGGCGTCAGCAGCCTCCGATGCTGGAACCACTTTGGCCCATTTAAGATCAACAATCCTTGCCCTATGGAGGAGCACAGTGCAAAAGAGCTGGTTAGATCACTTCCTACTAAGCAATGGATCATTTCAGGTGGCATGTTTACAATCCAGCTGTAATATGAATGAATATCTGCTCCGTTCTATCCAGTGTATTCAACAGAAGGATGAGAGTTTTTCTTCAGAACATAAGAACATCCATACTGGGTCAGACCACTGGTCCATGTAGCCCAGTGGTTCTCAACCAGGGGTATGCAGAGGTCTCATCAACTCATCTAGATATTTGTCTAGTTTTACAACAGGCTACATAAAAAGCACTAGTGAAGTCAGTAGAAACTAAAATTTCATACAATGACTTGTTTATACTGCTTTATATACAATACACTGAAATGTAAGTAAAATATTTATATTCCAATTGATTTATTTTATAATTATATGGTAAAAATGTGAAAGTCAGCAATTTTTCAGTAAGTGCTGTGACACTTGTATTTTTATGTCTGATTTTGTAAGCAAGTAGTTTTGAAGTGAGGTGAAACTTGGGGATACGCAAAACAAATCAGACTCCTGAAAGGGGTACAGTAGTCTGGCAAGGTTGAGAGCCACTAATCTAGCCCAGTATCCTATCTTCCAACAGTGGTCAATGCCAGCTGCTTCAGAGGCTTTGAACAGAACAGGGCAATTATGCAATGACAATGTTGTCTACTCCCACCTTCTGGCAGTCAGAGGTGAGGGACACCCAGAGCATGGAGTTGCATCCCTGACCATCTTTGTTATTAGCCATTGATGGACCTATCGTCCATGAACTTATCTATTTCTTTTTTGAACCCAGTTAGACTTTTAGCCTTCACAACTTATCCTGGCAATGAGTTCCACAGGTTAACACTGTGTTGTGCGAAGAAGTACTTCTTTTGGTGAGTGACATCATTAAAAACCCTTGATTTCACTTAGAGCTTTTTGGAAAACCAATTTTTTCCGCCTGTGAGAAATTTCGAATGAAAAATCTTTGTTTGAAAATTTTTAATCAACAATTTTCAGTTTTCCTGTGGGAACCAAACCAAAATTCATTTTGAATCAACCTTTCTGAAATTAAATGTAAGCTTTCAATTTGTTTAGACTTAAAATGTCATTTTGTTTCAACTAAAACAACCAAAACAACATGATATTTTAAGACTAAACAGAACATTTTTCACTGAGAAATTTCCTGCTGAAAGCTGAAAACTTGTGCCAGAATTGATATTTTTCCCCACAAATTTCAGATTCAACAAAGCCATATTTTTTTGAGGAGAAAACTTTATGTACAAAAAAGTTTAACCAGGTCTAATTTCAATCCAGACAAGGAAATTCAAGGTTAAGGCTCAAAGCTGATCTGATACTTGTTTACGTTTGTAACGTATTACCACATAATATCATGTGTAAAATATTGTATCTAATGTGCTCTGAATTAAACCTCTGAAATATCTAGTTACAATGATGACATGAGTAAAGGGTCATTTCTCAATCTGAACTCTGATTTCTCCACTTTCCTGCATTTCATTCACACCTTTCCAGTTACTGTCACAGTCGTTTTTGTGAGTTAGCTATTAAATACTATCGCTCTGTATCTACGTGACACAACAAATAGTGCTGATTCCCTCATGAATATCACCAGCAATACTGTTACATGAGGTAAATGAGAATGAAATATGATAGTACAAACCAATCCAGGGAACCAGGAAACTGTATATCAGAAGAGACTTAGGGTCTGTAGAATTCAATAGAGAAGAGAAATATATTATTAGGGTAAAATGATACAGAAGGTGAATAAGGTGCTACTCATGGTGAGTAAGGCATCAAAATCTGGTCCTATATTAGTCAAATAATTATTAGAATTTCTTCTAAGCTTTAATCATGCTCTCGTTAGTAGCAAAATCTGTATGGGGAAGGACAATCTCCATACAGGAAAACTCTTACATTTTATATCAAGATTCCATTCAAAGATTCTAAAGGGTTAATAAATGTCTGACAAACATTGTAAGCATGTAACACAGAGGAGTAATATGTGTTGTTATAGGGGGTTATACCCGCATCAGAAAAAGGCACAATAGATGGCTATAAGCAACCTACTGACCTCTTGGACTCCTCTATTGCAATTGACATGCCATTTAGTAATACATCAATATTTTCTAATCATTGACTATTTATAAATGGAGCCTTAGTAAAAAAAGGTGACCACAATTCTCTATATTTAGAGCATGTGCTTCTCCTTCACTCATAAATCTATCCAGATTCATTCCCATCACCATAGTATCAGAGCACTGGGGAAAGACCAAATTGGGTTGGTTATGCTTAAAACCCCTTCCAATAAATACATCACCTCCCAGTCTGCATTTTCCAGCTTGTGCCTGCTCAGACTTGCTCTTTCCTTTAGGAATATTGACTCATTAGCCCCTGATTCTCATAACTTCAGTGTTGCCCCTGAGTCAAGTCCCATCTGCACTGATAAAAACATAACTCGAGTGTGGTGGTGCTTTCTGCTGACTAGGCTTGGCCCATCGAGGAAGAGGCTACAGCTCTAGTGAACACAACCTGTGCAATGAGCCAACCTCTCTGGAGTGTGGGCAATACAGATGGAAGTGGACATGAAGGGCTGCATTTTCAGACTGGTCTGAATAGGTCTACCTTTTTCCACCCACAAAGTTGCAGGCATAAATAATTGCAGGCCCTGTATATCAGGAGTCAGAACCTGCTTAGCTGGTGTAAATCGCGTTCAGTGCTTGGGCTTCAGCACTTATTAATTGCTCTTCAGATGGAGAGTGATCATTTTCTGTGTGAGGATTGAAAACAGTTGATCAAAATGCTCACAAAATACACTGATTTCATTCTGTACCAGTTTCCATCTTAAAACAATGGAATTTTTTTTAAATAGATGCTTTTCACTTCACCCTTATGTAAATATCCATTTCTGAGACCTCTGCTTTACAGATCATAGCATTGAGTGGCATTTGCAGTATGGAATGATATTATGATCACTCAGATATAAGAGGTGTTATATTTTTGGACCCAGCAGAGAAGGAGATAGACGCAGAGGGAGCTGCTAGAAACACAGCTTTGTGCTGTGCTTGCTTTACCGTTCTAGCTGAAAAACTGAAACTAACAAGAAAGTGAGGCGTAGCACTGGGAAGGAGGAAGTGCTCACACATTTAGAGGGACAGGACATCACAAGATGCAGTGTCTTTACCTCCTCTGCTGTAGACCGCCTTAGCATATTCAGGGTGGTTGATCCACAAGAATACTAAGAAACCGCCAAGCCAGACGGGGTGACAGTGTGGGTATTTTTCTGCCCAGGATGCTGTATTGTCTAGTTCATCCTCTTGTTGAAGCTGTGTTGTAAATTAAAAGTAGATGTAGTTCAAGACAATAGTTCATAGCCCAAGTATGCGTACATATCTGCATTTTAGTAATGCTATTGATTAGGCTTTTAACATCACTCCAAGTGCAGAGGTCCCCTGTTTGTTAGAATGGCAGATTAAGGTGGGGGAATGTGGGTAAGGCCAGGGGGAACAATAAGAACTAGCCCAGACAATTGTTATTTAAGCAATTCCTCTTTCAACCCAGTCCCTTTCTCCCTGTTCTGCCTTCAGATACCCACCTGGACCCTGACCTCCACCTCCCATTATGGTTCCTCATCCCATCCCCACAGAACACCTGGCCGAGTCTGTCCTGGGCCTTTGAGCTTTCCGTCTGAGTTCTCCCATGTAGCACATCTAGACTCTAGCTCAAATGGGCATTCAGGGCCAGATCCTCAGCTGATGGAAACCGGAATAGCTCGACTGAGGGCACTGGAGCGATGCCCATTTACACCAGCACCTGGGATTTAAGCGCAGACCTGGTGTGACGTTATTGATATAATCTGGGACCATATAGATCATTGTTGCAACCAAGGTCCTGTAGTGGCACCCAAATCTTGTATAAAGGGGGTCAAATGGGGTGTCTAAGACAAGGTTATGGTTTACTGGTTATGATTAGGCTGTCTATATGCATGTATCAATTTTGTAGTTGAAGTTATGAATATTGGCTCTATACTGTCTGTATTTCAAACTTATGCTATGCTGCTGGGTGACATCCCAGACAAACTGGTGTTAGCTCTGCCTAGCCTGCTTGATGGCCCATTAAGGACCATCAGCTATACAATGGACCCATTGAGAGAAGGCAAATATGCCTTGAGACTCAGCAAAGTATGCAGGAATTTGCCCATGTGACTCCAGACTCCATCTTGCTGTAATTTTCCACAGTAAGAACAAAGAGGTGTTCTTACACCTGGAAAAGACTATATAAGGCTGATGCCTCATCTCCATCTTGTCTTCAATCCTGCTTCATACCTCTGGAGGAACTTTGCTACAAGCTGAAGCTTTGAACAAAGGACTGAGGACCCATCCCAGCGGGGGATGTATTCCAGAGACTTGATTTGAACCTGCAGTTTATTCTATCGCTGCTGCAAGCCTGAACCAAGAACTTTGCCATTACTGTATGTAATTGATTCCACTTAACCAATTCTAGCTCTCATCTCTATTTCCTTTTATGAATAAATCTTTAGATTTTAGATTCGAAAGGATTGGCAACAGTGTGATTTGTGGGTAAGATCTGATTTGTATATTCACCTGGGTCTGGGGCTTGGTCCTTTGGGATCAGGAGAACCTTTTTCTTTTACTGGGGTCTTGGTTTTCATAACCATTTGTCCCCATAACGAGTGGCACTGGTGGTGATACTGGAAAACTGGAGTGTCTAAGGAGATTGCTTGTGAGACTTGCGGTTAGCCAGTGGGGTGAGACCGAAGTCCTCTTAGTCTGGCTGGTTTGGTTTGCCTTAGAGGTGGAAAAACCCCAGCCTTGGGCTGTAACTGCCCTGTTTGAGCAATTTGTCCTGAGTTGGCACTCTCAGTTGGGTTCCGCCAGAACCGCATTGTCACACCTGGCTGTGACTGACAACTTGTGTGAGGGTTGTCTAGGTTTTTGTCTGGTTGAAGCTGCATTGTTAGTTAAAGGGAGATGTAGTTCAAGACAGATCTTCAGCAGCACACTCCGAATGGGGAAGAGCCTTGCTACAGTCAGGGGACTGGATTAGTCAGATGAGACAATTGCTAACAGGCCTAGGCAGAAATGCATGTTTGTATTTTTGTAAAGCTTCCATTGTACAAGCTTTTCAAGTCACTCCAAGTGCAGAGGTCCCACCTGTTCATTAGAAAGGCCAGTAGAGGTGGATGAATGAGGACAAGGCCATGGGGAACCATAAAAACTAGCCCACACAGTTAAGTGTTGTGTAAGAAATCCTTCCTTCAACCGGTCTCCTCACTCCCAAAAGGAGAACTCTGAATGCCAACAGTCCTGCTACTCTTAAATTGGCTTCTAGGGGACAAGGAGCAGGGGGGTTGGATGGGGCGCTGGTTCGGAGGGGGGCAGTCAGGGGGCGGGAAGTGGGATGGGTCGGATAGAGGGTGGGGGCCAGGCTGTTTGGGGAGGCACAGCCTTCCTTACCCGGCCCTCCATTCAGTTTTGCAAACCCGATGTGCCCCTCAGGCCAAAACGTTTGCCCATCCCTGGTCTAGCAGTTGACGTTGGTCTATGATCAGTTTACACAGACACACACATAGTACAGTCCCAATTGCTACCTTACTGGTTTCACACCCCGCCCCTCCCCACACACAGCAGTACAGTCCCAAGACACACACACACACACACACACACACACCCCAGTAGAGTTCCAAGACACTAACACACACATGCGGGCGCGCTACAGTCCCAGTTGCTACTTTACCATTTGAAGGTGGCCATACAGCCAGTGGGTGGGAGGTCCTGGGAAACTTTTGAAGATTTTGAGCAGTTTCCGCTTCCTCCAGTACAGCTGGATTGCTTTCAGAACCACACAGGCGAGACACACCACGGCCATCAGGTGAAACATCTGGGAGACAGCTCCGTTCAGCCATACCCCCGAAGGGTTCATTACTGTCTCCAGTACAGATTTCATGTGGCTGCCCTCATTCGCAGGCAGTGTATAAAAAGCCCCAACCCTGTCAGCTTCTGCTGCGCTCTGTACTTCCTGTATGCACAGAGTCAAGCTTAATCTTATCTCTGTCACCAACAGAAGTTGGTCCAATAAAAGAGATTATCTCACCCGCCTTGTCTCTATAGTAAATCCTATGAACTGCATCCTCCACTGCAGCTACGCTGATTCACAAATGCAGCAGATTTACAAAATGGTAGAACCCAGGGAAGTAGCCCAGGGAATTGAAGCAGTTTTGTCGGAGAAGTTAAGGAGAGGCAGCCGGAGGCTGCTATCTGTAGGGTCCCTGGGCTAGGACCCAGAGTAGTGGGTGTGCCTGGTTCCCCCGCAACTTGCCACTAGGGAAGTGGCTCGACTATAGAGCTGGGAGATACTTCCCCCCACCCCCAGAAGGGAGAAAACGTGGATGGTGGTATGGACAGAGGGCCGAGTCATGAAGAGGACTCTGTGGTTCCTGGAATCAGGCGTTTCTGCAGGCAGAGAAGGCGGCGGGAGAGGCCTCACCAGAAAAGGGCTGAGAGAGCTAATTCCCGAGACGGCCAGCAGGAGGTGCCGCTCTGGTGAGTGAATCCCGTCATGGTGCCCCAGAGCTGCTGAGAGCTCCAAATGACAGAAGCTTCATAGGGGAGAGAGCTGTCTGCTGGCATTTCTTGGTGAGCCAAGGGAAATGACAGGATGGGCCAGGCCTCATTTGCGTTTCCCATATGTGGCAGTTTGGGGAACTGTGGTCAAAATTCAGTTACATTTTAAATTTGGGGGTAATAAGACACTGTTATCCCTGTGGGTAACAAAAGAGCAGGAGAACTGTGCCAACTATGCCTACAATTATGGGTCACCCTAACCATCACTGAAGTCTGGCAAGGTTGGGTACTGGAGCCCCAACAATATGAGAGAAGGAGGAGGGGCGGCTACCTTATGGTGGCAATGCCATCTCTGGTAGCAAGTATTGTGCTCAGTGCTATGTCACTGACCTGTCTCTGAAGAGTGGAGGAGAGGGAGCTTTCATGAAGAAGACATGGCTTTACAGACAGTGGCAGACACAGAGGTGTTATTGGGGCAGGTCAGCAGAGGAACTCTAATGAGGGTCCCTGCTACCCAACAATGAGAGGAGTAATCAGTGCAGCTGGGTGAACTGGTATAGCTCCCGGAGCAGATCGGGCAGCGCTTTCCACTGGGGCTGGAGATAGACCTGCCTGAATTCCGCTTAGCCGTGACAACAAACCGTGAGTAACGTTTTCTTTGTTTTGTACAATGGACTCAGTGCTTGTGAGGAGAAGTGTTGCCTGTCGGGGCACCTCAGGGGTATGTAGTTTTCCTAGGTTTCTGGGCAGGGGCATGAGTCAGTGTTGTTTGCTAAATTTTCAGAAGGAACCTTAGACATTTCAACCAGCTCTTTGCACTGCTTGTAACCTCTGGTACAAGGGTCACACTGATTTCTGTTGCTGGTTTTCAGGTGTTATTGCAAGATGGGTTAGGTCCTTTTTTATTTACATCCCCGAGTCCTTTCCCTGTTCTCATCCCCTTGTATTAGTTTATCTTGTTCCTATCCGGGGATTAAACTGTTTGTTTTTATGTGGACTGAGATTCAATGTGTGACAGGTTAGATCACAGAAACCTGTTTGGGAGCTGCCACCCGATGTGCCAAGACTACTTCTAACCCTGCCTTCCCTGCCAGCTCAGGACTCCAGCACCCTGTCTTGCTGAGCCAGACACTCCTGTCTGCTCCAACACAGACCCAGGGTCTGACTTACTTGCCCCAACGCTGCAGATTTAATAGCAGACAGAACAAAGTGAATTACCAAGTAAAATAAAATGAAACATGCAAATCTAAGCCTAATACAGTAATAAAACTGAATACAGATGAAATCTCACCCTCAGAGATGTTTCAATAAGTTTCTTTCACAGACTGGACGCCTTTCTAGTCTGGGCACAATCCTTTCCCCTGGTACAGCTCTTGTTCCAGCTCAGGTGGTACCTAGGGGATTTCTCATGATGGCTCCTCTCTTTGTTCTGTTCCACCCACTTATATATCTTTTGCATAAGGCGGGAATCCTTTGTCCCTCTCTGGGTTCCCACCCCTCCTTCTCAATGGAAAAGCACCAGGTTAAAGATGGATTCCAGTTCAGGTGACATGATCACATGTCACTGTAAGACTTCATTACCCACTTGCCAGCACACACAT